TATTAGTATACTAAAGTTTTAGATGAACTTTTTAGAGTGGATATCTACCACACTAATCATGATTTTAGTATACTAATTACTGTTATCATTCATTTTCTTATGAAAACGTTTAAATTTGGTGTATTTATAACATTCTCAAATTAATTTAATAATACAAAAATGGAATATCTTAATATATATATATATATAATTCAAGTTATAAATAATTTGGAAATGATTGAAAAAGGTCAAGATAATGACCACGCAAAAATTAGATTAAATATAGCGGAAGATCTGTTCTTTGGTATGTCACTAAACTAATTACAATATGGTAATGTACATATATTTTCTAGTTACATTAATAAAATGTCATTTTCTGTAGTTTTGTTTGAAAGGGCATTTGTATACAAATTTAGACTAACAAAAGATCTACTAAGTTTAATTATTAATAAACCAAATCCATAAGGGCTAAAAGTATTTTTACCCCCATTCTAAAATATTTGAATTAACAATTGACCTTTATCAGCTTTCATTATAAAAAATAACACGAAAAATTAAATTAAAAATTTTAACGAATAAACAGCAATAAATTTTTCATGGATAAATTTTGTTTATCATAAATTTTATCAAGTATTAATGATAAAATTAATATAAAAAAACCCCAGCACAGAGGGGTCGCGGCACAGTGGTGACGTGGCATAGTTGGATCAAGTATAATGATATCTGACAGTGATTAAAATCACTATAAAAAAAAAACGCTTCGATGGAAATCTTTAGATAGTGTTTAATTTTAAAAAATTGGTGTATTATTCCAATAGCTACATGATCTGCTAGTTCATTATTAATATCCTAATTAAGATAAAGTATGTCGAATGAAAAAGGGATTATTAAAAAATATTATTTCTTATAAAAAAATAATGTTGATCCATACACCTTTCAAAAAGTTATAGCATTATAAAGTTAAAAATATAAAAAAGAATTTTTTCACAAAAATCGTATTTTTTTTATAAACTTTGATGTCTGTTTTCACCATGAAGATAAAAGAAAGTCAGAAATTTTTTTTTACCATAATAAAGTATATTACATTAGCTTTAATTTAAGATATATATAAAAGTGTCAGACCTTCCGGAACACTTTCAAAATTTAAGTTGAAAAAGTTCTACTTTTTACATGCATTTTTTAGATTTGAACCCCCCTCGTATATAGGGAAATGATCCGATTTAAAAAAACAGTATGTCAAATGAAAGATGTATATGAATACTACTCCTCATAAAAAAATTGTACTGATCCATACATTTTTCAAAAAATTATGGAATAATAAAGTTAAAAATGTAAAAAATAAAATCGAGAATTTTCACACGAAAATAGCATTCGGTAGCCATTTTCACCACGAAGACAAGTCCAGAGGTCAAATTTTTTTTTTCCATAATAAAGTATATTACATTAGCTTTAATTTAAGATATATATAAAAGTGTCAGACCTTCCGGAACATTTTCAAAAGTTAAGTTGAAAAAGTTAATTTTTTGTGAAAAAGTTGTCATTTTAAATCCCCCCCTGTGGGCAGGTTAAGTGTCAGATTTACAAAAAAAATATACCAAATGATAGGTAAAGACATCAAGCATCTATATAAAAAAAAATTATATTGATATGTTCATTTTTGAAAAAGTTACGGCAGTTTTTAGTAAAAAAAATTGAAAAAATTTCGAAAATTAGCGATTTTTAAATTTGTAATTTTTTTGGAGGTTTCCCCCATTTACGGGGAACGAGGGAATTTTTTTCAATTTTTAAGGGTAATGTCTTCGACTAGATACGATTTGTGATCTTTTGACGTATCGTTGAAAGAAATCCGTTCGGTGAGAGCTGAGAAATAGTGATAACAGACACAAAAAAAAAAAACACATCATAGTAAAAAAAATACCTTCTCAGCTTCGCATCGAAGCTAATACAGTACAGCCAATATAATTTAATATACCGCACTAATAATTATTGGTTTGAAATGTCATTAGATTGGACGATGTACGATTAGTGCAAGATTTTTAGACTGATAAAAAATGAAATTCAAATATACGAATTTCCATTAGTGCACTAAAATCATAATAATAATTTTTTTAGATAAAACTGAATTCTTGTGGTTTTCAAAAAATCTCGGGATTTTGTCAATCCTGGATGCAATATATTTTCCTCATGTTTTAAGCGTATTTATATATAGAGAATTCTGTACTGTTTATTAGCTTGATAATATTACGATTATATGGTATGAATAAGATCACCAAATTGTAATGATATATTTATTAACAACAATTGAATGTATACTAAATGTGTCCTCAATATTTATAAAATTCTAATTTAATTTTATAAAAAATTACATTATTTTTAGATTTGCGTTATGAAATATAATACTAAACAGTACAATATTATTTTTATTTTTATAAAATAACAATAATGTGATTATGAAAAGTATAATTTTTGACATAAATGGCTATTATTATGTAGTACAACAAATAAATTATATTATAGATCTCTATTTTTGTCCCTGACATACTTTCTATAGGTACTATGTCTATTTTATTAAAAAATAAGAATTTTTGATTCTTGAATAATACTAGTAAATATTGGTGTTTATATTTTAAAATATGTTAACAACAGTTGGATAATAGTTTAATTTAAACCTTTGAATACTTATTTAACAAAATCTGGATATAATTTTAATGGGATTTAAAATATTTTGAGTAAAATACGTTTTTTAGCTTCGATGCGAAGCGGAGAAGGTATTAATTTTACTATGATGTGTTTTTTTTTTTTATGTCTGTTGCCACTTTTTCTCAGCTCTCACTGGACCGATTTCTTTCAAAAATACGTCAAAAGATCACAAATCGTATCTAGTTGAAGACATTACCCTTAAAAATTGAAAAAAATTCCCTCGTTCCCCGCAAATGGGGGAAATATCCAAAAAAATTACAAATTTAAAAATCGCTAATTTTCGAAATTTTTTCACTTTTTTTTCTTAAAACTTCCATAACTTTTTGAAAAATCAACAAATCAACATAATTTTTTTTTATACTAAAACCTTCTAAAACTTTAGATATTTTGATATCATTTTTTTGAAAATCTATCACTTAACCTGCTCATTGGGGGGGATTTAAAATGGCAACTTTTTTACAAAAATTAATTTTTTCAACTTAATTTTTGAAAATGTTCCGGAAAGACTGCGTCCTTTAAACATATATCAAATTAAAGCTTATTTTATGTACTACAAAATGAAAAAAAAAAATTTGTCCCGACACTTTTTTTTCTACATTTAAACGGCTGCCGTAGTTAAAAAAACACTATTTTTGTGTTAAAATTTTCGATTTTCGATTTTAAATTTTCAACTTAAAAATGCTATAACTTTTTGAAAAATGTATATATCAGCACAAATTTTTTTTTTCTAAATACATTATAAGTACATCTTTCATTTGACATACTTTTTATTAAAATTGGACAATTTCCCCTTATATAGGGGGCGTTCAAAACTTAAAATATGGTAAAAAACATAGATCTTTTTCAACTGAACTTTTGAAAATGTTCCGGAAATACTGCGTCCTTTAAACATATATCAAATCAAAGGTTATGTTATATACTATCAAATGAAAAAAAAAAATTTGTCCCGACATCTTATCTTCTATGTGCAAATGGCTGTCGAAAATTTAAAAAAAAATGTAATGTTTGCGATAAAAATTACATTTTATCGGGATGTTTTTTGTACTTAAAACTGCCATAACTTTTTCAAAAATGAACAAATAAAAATAATATTTTTTTGTATTGAAACCTTAGATATTTCCCTTTCATTTGATATAATTTTTTTTGAAAATCTAACACTTATTCTGCTCACTGGGAGGATTTAAAATAGTAACTTTTTTACAAAAAATAACTTTTTCAACTTAATTTTTGAAAATGTTCCGGAAATACTGCGTCCTTTAAACATATATAAAATTAAAGCTTATTTTATGTACTACAAAATGAAAAAAAAAAATTTGTCCCGACGATCTATCTTCTATACGCAAATGGCTACCATATTGAAAAATATACTATTTTTGTATGATAATTATGGGTTTTGTATTTTATTTTAATAGAAGTTGATGTTGCTTTTGCAATTATCCATCAATTTTTTAAAATTAAACACTATCTACAGATTTGCATCGAAGCGTTTCTTATGATAGTGATTTTAATCACTGTCAGATTAAATCTATACTGGACCCTACTATGCAATGTCTCCACTATACCGCGTCCCCACTGTGCTACCGTTTGTTTTAATTTTAAATTCTGTGTAATTGAGTTGTAAAATTTCGGGGAAAACATTTTTTGTATTAGTCTTAAAATGAACATGAAAATAAATTAATTTTTGTAATTTTTGAATACTAAAAGTTATTGTTGGGTTATTGTGTTTGTTAAATGTGTTTTACGTGTAACATGAAATTGCGCAAATAATATTTCAATGCTAATTTTGAGTTATATTATCCATTAAATTTATGTTATTTTCATCTGACCAGAACGAAGGCAAAACTTGAGATTGTAAATCATTCGTTGCAGCATTGCTCTACTTACATACTCTTTTAATTAAACTTAGTAATTGTTAGATTTGATTAGGATGAATAATTAGATCATTAAATAAATTTCTACCTAAACTATGATATACGAATTAAAGAAGGTTATTTTTTTATTAGATTTATCATATATTTATTTGATTATACAAATTATTTGAGTTCAGTTGCAAAAAGACTACCTTGTCAAAACATTACATATGAAGTAGTCAATAAATTACGATGTAGTCAAATGGTCTAAAATATTCTATAGTAAAATATTAAAATATAGTAAATATTACATTAAATTTATTTTGTACTTGGTCACTTTCACCATGATTTAGTGAAACGGTGAGCAGCAAAAGAAAATACTTCATAATCACGTTTAAGTCGAAAATCAATTATTTATGGTTAAAAAAACTGTTAAATGATAACTAAATGGTTTTGGTTATTTAATTTTAGATTCACTATGCTTCAACAAATTCTAAAAGATATGTATGTAGATCCGGAGCTGTTGGCTGAACTTGATGAAGCTCAGAGACAAACTCTATTCTGCAGAATGCGAGAAGAACAAGTTCGTCGTTGGAAACTTTGGGATAAAAATGAGGGTTCTAGAACAACAAGTTTAAAAAAACAATCAAGTAACATAAAAAAAATTCTTTATAAACATTTTATTAGTATATTCTGATTAATTAATTATGTCAAGGTAAGAAAAAAGTACATTGGATGTTAGATATCAATGGTGAACCTTGGACATGGGTCATGGGGGAACATAAAAATGATAAAACCATTGAGCAAATTATTGAAGAAGAAGCAAGGGAGGCTGCAAGAATACAAGCAGAACAAGAGACTGAGCAATTGAGGTTGATTATTCTTATAATTATGTTTTACGCTTTTCACAGTATACCTACTAGAATCAATTTTGTACGAATTATTAATCGTTATGTTATACTTCAAGATTGAAGGTGGAACTGGAACTGATGGCAATGTTGGAAAACAAAACAAAGGCTCAGTACAGTACCCAGGAAGTTGTACATCACGATATTGAAGAAATTTACTGTTCAGTAGAAGACTTAAAAACTTGCACGGCTAGAAATTCGTGCGTAACGGCTCAGCCAATTCGCGGAGCATTGAAAGAACTGTCATTCAACAAAGTACTTTATTTATATTTTATATAGTAAAAAATTTAGTCTAAGTAATGTATGAATGATAGTTAGAGTTGCTTGATATAATTTGATAGCGTATAGATTTATATAGCCTTCTGGCTTTATTGTCGTGGTATATAAATAATATACTTTTCCATTTATTGTATATGTGAGTGGAACAAATCGTTCGATGAGCTCTAAACATTAAAGTTCGTTGAACTATTTTATAGGTATCCGAGCGCGTGAGAAATTGGGAACAGAGGGTTATGGAAGAACGTACTTCAGAAATATATAAAAAAATGAAAAATAAAAAGGAGGAAGAAGAAAGAAAAGCTGAAGAAGCTGATAAAAAACAAGAAATCGTTTGGCGAGAACAAGGTTAATATTAATTTTTGCAAGATCGTAATACAGGATGAGACGCAAAAATAGAATATTTTGAAATTACACTAAAAATGTTAAAAAATGTATATTTTTACATAAATATACATATAATTATAAAATAATAATTTTTAAATAATATAATTTTATATTTTTGGATATTTATTGCCTTTCTCGTTTACTAACTTTTAATATATGTCTCATTTATTTGAAAATATCTCATATAACGTGTATACTAAGGGAAATGTATAAGTAAACGTAATGTTTATTAATTTTTTATAATTTATTTTTAGAGCAAAGAGCTAAAGAAGCAGAATTACAAAAACGACAAATTGCACGGCAAGCTAGAGAAGAACATAGACGGTCATTGTTGTGCACTGAAAATCAATTTAAGTGAGACATTATTTGGTTGTTATTATTTCTATTTTTTTTTTAACTAGTTTACTAATAGGGAGCATACTGATTAATACTTTATATTAAAAAATTATTTCAAAAGGATCACTTTTTATTAAACAAAACATTAAAGATCATTATTAACTAACCGCGTGTAGCAGTGGCGTAACCAGGAGGAACTCAGGTATCCCCCCCTTTGACAGTAATATTTATCTTTAAAATGAAGGGAGCAAAAAGAAAAGGTCCAAAATATGTAATTTTGTAGATTTTTTTTATTATGCATCTTACTTTATGAAATTCTGGCTACACCATTAACTTTTAGTGATGAGTAACCTACTAGATTTTTTTTCTAATGGGCCAGTACGTACCTAGTAACAAATCGGGGAATTCACGCGGCTACATATTTTTGATCGATATCTACACATATTTGGAGTATTTGCAATAATATTTGTAATATTATGTAAATTTTAATTTATTGTAGTAGTGTGTTAGTGCCAAACTCTTCTAAGCCGCCAAGTAAAAAAGCTGTTATTGAATGGTTTAGAGCTAAAGAAATACCTAGGCGAGCGGGTTTTGAACAAAATAAGAATGCTATAGCTACATGGTTCCACGGTGATTATAAATTTTGTTTTTATCACTATATATTTTGCTTATTTATATATTATAATCATGAATACAAGCTTATCCGTGTACGATCTATCTTAAGACATATCGTATAAAGGTCTCCAGTAAAAGTTCATAGGATAAAAAAATATATTTTTTCTTATAACTAACACGCTGTGAAACGTCCTGTGTGTACTTTAATTATTATGAATATACATATATGTTGGTTTTATTACACTTTAAGGCCTTATTACGAGAAAAGAAGCCGAAGTTTTGTTACATAAAGAACCAGTTGGTAGTTTTCTGGTACGATTATCTGAAAAGATTTGGGGCTATGCCATAACTTATAGAGATTACGACTGTTGCAAACATTATTTAGTGGATGCATCCAATGACCATTATCAGTTTTTAGGTACTAATCAAATACCTCACAATACATTAAGTAAGGATACAAATTAAAAAAGTTATAGAAGATATCAACTTAAAAAAAAGTTGGCCAATAAATATTAAATTTTATCTGTTTATTGCAGGTGAATTAGTTAGTTATCACAGAAAAAAACCGATTACCAAAACTGGCGATGAGCTTTTGTTGACACCCTGTAATCGATCATCTAAATTACCTCCATTAGTATTTCAAGGACTATTGAAAACTTAAGTTATTCTGATAAAATGTTTTTTGTTTTATAGTCTGTATAAATTTTTATTATATTTTTAAGTTATTAAAAACTACTTTCTTTTTGATAATTTATTTCACTATGATTATAAATTTATGTTTTATATTTAAAAACTTACCATTTTATATTTAGTACCTATATATGTATACATACATGTATATACATAAATTACCTACTTAGTCATATGTTTGTTATTTATATATATTTAAATTTTAATGTATTTTAGTAATTTAAAAACTATTAAATATGTTTTTTTGTTCACTATAGTTAATTCTTAGGAAATCATATGGGTGTGGTAAAATATGGAGAAATATTTTAAGTGTTTGAAATTAATCCAAGAGGTTTGAGTGAAAATTAAGTGAAGTTCCAATTTTAAAGATTTGTGATTGTAAAATAAAAATTGACGTAGTGAGAGTGCAGTTTGCTGCAAAACCAGCAAACTTTATAAAAAGGTCATAATTTTATTATGTATATTAAATACATTGTTATATATTTAGTTTTATGCTCTTAATTTAAAATTATTCACAAAAAAAAAAAAAGAAAATTGTTGCCTTAGCCACTCGACACTCCAAATTAATATTTAAATTAAGTTATTTTAAAAAGTTGCTTTTTTATAACTGTCATAATTAGTATATAAAATTATTAGTATAATTACTATATACGCATTTATGATATTTATAATAAAAAGCACCTAATCTGCTTCAGATCAGGAGACAGCAAAAAAAAAAAAATGTATTATGATATATTTCTAAAAGCCTATAAATTATAATATCTTCCTAAAAAACCTACCATGAAACTAACAGAAAATTTATTTTGTTATTTTGTGGCAATTAATTTTTTGTCCCATATTAATCCGAGCGCACGAAAATGCACCAGACCAAATTTTAGTTATGCTAGTGTATCTATAGATGAAATATTTTGCCGATTCTAATCGCTGTATCTGTTTCCTAAAGAAAAGTTTTTGAAAATTTGAAACATAAATTTAGTATCTAAGATCACTGCGAAATATAATCCTTTATGTAAACTCGTTTCAAAATAAGATAATTTCAATGAGTTCTAACTGACTCATCATCAAAATAATACTTATAAGTAGAAATGTGAAACTTTTTGAACAAAGGTAAGTCTTTTTCCTTTTTTTTTTGTTATTATTCTTAAGTTTCAGTTACATTGACAATTAGCTACTTATAAAGTTACATACTGTTTATATTTATTACATAAATTTTATAAGGTTTAGCATTTAAAATACGACATATATACAATTTCGAGGGATTGTTCATTACACTTAGTGAATTACTTACTACCGCAAAATTTTCGTTTTCAAAATTATGTTTTATACAATAAACTGCTTTTTTCCAACGTAGAATTTCTGCAGTAAATATCAAACATTTAACAGGTAATTTTGTAATATATTATCACTTATAATATTAACATGCATTATAATGTTATCGTGTGTACATGTATATCACATATTATGAATATACAAAATCACTAAAACAGGGTTTCTTTAATTAAAATAAAAAATAATCAGCTAATTATGGGATAAAATCTACTTATTGTGGAGTTTTTTAAGTAACTCTTATACACAGGGCTCTCATTATAATTAACCAATTAGAATAGAAAGCCTTAGCTTCCAAGATCACGCTAGGGATCGCTAGACTACCCCTTTTGACTATATGACGTGTAGTGTGAATTGTGTACGTTGTGTATTTAATACCAGAATTAATGTTGGATTGTTTCAAAAATTTTAGCGTGACATAGGACATGAGGTAAGTACAATTTAACGTATGCTTTTGAACCTCCAACTATCTATTGCGTAATAAACCATTAATAAAAATTATATAATTTAAAAAAATATATATTTAACTTCCTAACCTTCCATTACTACATTACTCTTTTGTATTTCTGTTTTTAATTTAATTTTTGGTTTAAAACAATTTTTATGTGGCTATTATTTTATTGTGACATACTATGGTCATTCCTACATCGTGTTTATCTATCGATGGGTCTGTATAGTAGTTAATCGGGTTTAATAGTGTTTAATAATTGATCTAGTTAATGTTTATACATCTTATCAGATATATACAGATTCTTAACAGATTAGTTTAGAACAAATACTGACTCGGTTGATTCTGATTAACGTTCCGCACTTTCGGTGGTGTTTAAATTTCGGCTAAGTGTTAACTTGTTTTAAGTGTGGTTTCCCTGTAAATTTGTGATCATCAGTGGCGTAGCGAAGGGGGAGGACTCCGGGTCCGGTCCACCCCCTTGGCATGTATAATATTATATTTTTTGGATTACGACAAGTAACGTTGTAGCTACAGTTAAGTAATTCATACCACAATGTGATTAATACTATCAAATTTTCATGTTATCTGTTGCCTTAATAATTATTATCATAACCATTGTTCTAGAACACCTGTATCAGCAACTATGTTTAAAATACATTTAGTCTTTGATCTGTTATCAAATCATTTATTGTTATCGTAACAGTTTTGAAATAATAACAAATTAATATTAATGTTACAATTGTAGTTTTTTGTTTTTTAGTACTGTTGGTTTTTACAGTTTAAAGTATTGAAAATTAAAAATGAAACGTTTTATAAACGATTATCTTAAAGCTAGTAATCCCAATCAAAGTGCTCCCTTACCTACTTTAGTGAAGTGTTCTATAATTACCAATGTTTCAAGGGAAACGGAAGACAACATTCACAGCCCGTTTGATATAACGAAATATATTGGTAAACATATGTCAAATAATGAAAAACTTGAAGCACTTAATACATTTTGGATCCCAAGTAAAAATTATAATTTTCCCATTACGCTTAATGGCAATAAAAATTAAAAATTTCAACTTTCTTGGTTTGAGAAGTGGAATTGGATTGCTTATAGTAGTTTAGTTGATGGTGCTTATTGTAAGTATTGTGCTTATAGTAAGTATTTACTATAAAATATGGTGGAAAAGGAAGTTAATTGCTTGGGCAGCTTTGCAATCAACCATTAAAGAATTGGAAGCACGCTACTGAAAAATTTAAATCACATGAAAGCACTAATTATCATATCAACTGTATATTAAATTATCAATCCTTGTCAAAAGTTATTTCAGGGCAAACAACTTCTGTGTACGATCAACTAGATATAGCTTCAAAACAACAAAAAGAAGATAATAGAAAAATCATTTTGCCTGTTATTAAGTCTGTGATATTCTGTGGTCGTCAGAAAATAGCAATTAGAGGTCATCGAGATTATGGCCCTTTGGAATTAAATGAACCAACAGAAAATGATGGTAATTTTCGGGCGTTATTAAGATTTTATATAAATGCAACTAGAATATCAGAAAATAATAGCCATGTATTAGCACGAGAAAACTGTAAAAAGAATGCTCAGTATATAAGTCCGCAAATACAAAATCAGATTGTTGATGCTTGTTATATAGTCGTGTCAAAAAAAATTGTGAAAAAAATTAATGAATTTTAATATTTTTCCATAATTTCTGATGAGACTGCTGATGTAATTCTACTGATAATACAATTCATGAGGACTTTTTAAAGTTTGTACCCGTTCATGATGTGAGTGGTAGAACTCTAGCAAACACCATAATTGATGAACTAAAAATAATAAATAATAAAAACTGAAATAATAAATCTAATATAATTATAGTACTTGGCATAAAAAATTTAACTTCTAGAATCTTTTAGCTTCGATGCGAAGCTGAGAAGGTATTGGTTTTACTATGATGTGTTTTTTTTTTTTGTGTCTGTTATCACTATTTCTCAGCTCTCACCGAACGGATTTCTTTCAACGATACGTCAAAAGATCACAAATTGTATCTAGTCGAAGACATTACCCTTCAAAATTGAAAAAATTTCCCTCGTTCCCCGTAAATGGGGGAAACCTCCAAAAAAATTACAAATTTAAAAATCGCTAATTTTCGAAATTTTTTCAATTTTTTTTACTAAAAACTGCCGTAACTTTTTCAAAAATGAACATATCAATATAATTTTTTTTTATATAGATGCTTGATGTCTTTACCTATCATTTGGTATATTTTTTTTGTAAATTTGACCTTTTATCTGCCCACAGGGGGGGATTTAAAATGACAACTTTTTCACAAAAAATTAACTTTTTCAACTTAACTTTTGAAAATGTTCCGGAAGGTCTGACACTTTTATATATATCTTAAATTAAAGCTAATGTAATGTACTTTAATTTGAAAAAAAAAAATTTGACCTCTGGACTTGTCTTCATGGTGAAAACGGCTACCGAATGCTATTTTTGTGTGAAAATTTTCGATTTTATAATTTACATTTTTTACTTTAAAGTGCTATAACTTTTTAAAAAATGTATGGATCAATACAATTTTTTCATGAGAAGTAGTATTTATATACATCTTTCATTGGATATACTTTTTTTTTAAATCAGACTATTTCCCTATATATGGGGGGGCTTCAAATATAAAAAATGCATATAGAAAGTAGAACTTTTTCAACTTAACTTTTGAAAATGTTCCGGAAGGTCTGACACTTTTATATATATCTTAAATTGAAGCTTATGTAATATTCTTTAATTTGAAAAAAAAAAATTTGACCTCTGGACTTGTCTTCGTGGTGAAAGTTGACATCAAAGTTAATAAAAAATTACGATTTTTGTAAAATAATTTTTTTTTATATTTTTAACTTAATAATGCTCTAACTTTTTCAAAAATGAGCATATCAATAAAAATTTTTTCTATGTAGATGCTTGATGTCTTTACTTATCATTTGGTATATTTTTTTTGTAAATCTGACCCTTTATCTGCTCACAGGGGGGGATTTAAAATGACAACTTTTTCACAAAAAATTAACTTTTTCAACATCACTTTTGAAAATGTTCCGGAAGGTCTGACACTTTTATATATATCTTAAATTAAAGCTAATGTAATATACTTTAATTTGAAAAAAAAAAATTTGACCTCTGGACTTGTCTTCACGGCGAAAATGGCTACCGAATGCTATTTTCGTGTGAAAATTCTCGATTTTATTATTTATATTATATTTAACTTTATAATGCTATAACTTATTGAAAAGTTTATGGATCCACACAATTTTTTTATGAGAAATAATATTTTTTAATAAACCCTTTTTCATTCGACATACTTTATCTTAATCGAGATATTAAGGAACCAGCAGATCAAGTAGCTTTTGGAATAAAACACCAATTTTTTTAAAATTTAACACTATCTAAAGATTTGCATCGAAGCGTTTATTTTTGATAGTGATTTTAATCACTGTCAGATATCATTATACTTCATCCAACTATACCACGTCACAACTGTGCTGCGACCCCCCTGTGCTGGGTTTTTTTAAACGAATATGCGTTTTCCAAAAAATAAAATGAAAATAAATAATTAAAAATCAACAAAATCAGTTATAACGTATTTTAAGACTTTTAAATGTTTTTTACTGTTTGTAGTGTTTTTGTGGGCCATTTATTGAGAAAACAACATTGAAGTTATTATTTTTGAATTTCTTGTAAAATTTCTTTTACTTGAGTTTTACTTTTATTATTCTAAGTTAAGAGAAAAAAAAGTTATGAGACATAGATCAGTTATTTCTATTAAATTTGACTCTTCGACTCAACTTAATAGGCCCGGGGGCACGGGTTAACCTTAACGGATCGGTCCCAAATTTTGCACAGCTCATTTTTTTGACCATTAAAAAAAAATTAAGGGGTAGCGTAAAAAAAAAAAAAGACATTCGATTTTTGAGGGCTACCCTAATGATGACGCTACCACTATGAGCGGCAAATTTAATGGAGTTGCTACATTAATCAAAAACAATTACCCCACTGTCCTGTAAATTCATTGCAGCTCTCATAATCTCAATCTTGCTATATCATATTGTTGTAATATACCTCAAATTAGAAATACAATGGGGGTCGTTGAAAGTGTATATTTATTTTTTAATACTCCTAAAAGACAAAAGTTTTTCACTGAACAATTAGAAATATTTAAAAAACCCAGCACAGGGGGGTCGCGGCACAGTAGTGTCGTGGTATAGTTGGATCAAGTATAATGATATGTGACAGTGATTAAAATCACTATCAAAAAAAACGCTTCGATGCAAATCTTTAGATAGTGTTAAATTTAAAAAAAATTGGTGTTTTATTCCAAAAGCTGCATGATCTGTTGGTTCCTTATTAATATCCTGATTCAGATAAAGTATGTCGAATGAAAAAGGGATTATTAAAAAATATTATTTCTCATAAAAAAATAATGTTGATCCATACACTTTTCAATATGCCATAGCATTATAAAGTTAAAAATGTAAAAAATAAAATCGAGAATTTTCACACAATAATAGCATTCGGTAGCCATTTTCACCGTGAAGATAAAATAAAGTCCGAAATTTTTTTTTTTCATAATAAAGTAAATTACATTAGCTTTAATTTAAGTTATATGTAAAACTGTCAGACCTTCCGGAACATTTTCAAAAGTTAAGTTCAAAAAGTTAATTTTTTGTGAAAAAGTTGTCATTTTAAATCCCCCCCTTTGGGCAGATAAAGGGTTAGATTTACAAAAAAAATATACCAAAAGATAAGTAAAAACATCAAACATCTATATAAAAAAAAATTATATTGATATGTTCATTTTTGAAAAAGTTACGGCACATTTTAGTAAAAAAAATTGAAAAAATTTCGAAAATTAGCGATTTTTAAATTTGTAATTTTTTTGGAGGTTTCCCCCATTTACGGGGAACGAGGGAATNACCATTTTAAATGAACTAATAAATATTCGTGAAAATGTTAAAACTGTCTTTAATGAATTGTTTAAAAATGCCATGAAAAGATCAAATGGAATGTATATTGTAATTGAAATGCCAAGACTTGCTAAAAGACAAAAACATCGGAATAATTTTTCAACAGGAAATCCAGAAGACTATTTTAGAGTAACTCTTTTTATTTCATTCATTGATTCTATAATACAACAATTGAATGACCGTTTCAATAATCACAAAGAAATAATTTCTGGTTTTGAAGTATTGATAAATCCATGTGCTAAAAGTAATCTACAAAATCTTGTAAAATTTTATCAAGAAGATGTTGAAAGTTATGAAAAAGTTGTATTAGAAGTTGAATTATGGCACAGATATTTAAATATAAATAATATGAAACCTCAGAATGCAATGGACGCTTTACTAAAATGTAATCAGGACTTCTATTCAAATATTTATAACTTATTGCACATCCTAGTTGTACTCCCTGTTACATCACGTGAGTCAGAGAGATCATTTCCTTCATTGAAGAGAATTAAAACATATTTGAGGAACACAACTTCTGCAACCAGATTAAATGGTTTAGCGGTTCTCAGCATATACAGACATGTTTCTGTTACAGAAGATGAAGTCATTGACATATTATCGTCTACAAAGCTCCGTTTAAATTATTCTTTGTAAATCATCTTACAATTTGTACTTACTTTGAATATAATATAAAGGTCTTTGATTTAATTTAATTATTTGGGTATCAAAAATAAAATACTAGTCTTTGGTGAGCAAAAAAAAAGGTCATCACCAAAAAAAAATTAGACCCCCCCCATGGAAAATTCCTGGCTACGCCACTGGTGATCATATATATTGTTGTAGTCCTAATTTGTTCTATATATTTGTCAGTCATTTTTAGAATAATTCTTTTTTTAGTGAAATTAATACACTTCTTAGGTGATTTTCAATCCTGATTTTAATGACCAGTTTCATAATGTTTTAATGTTTGCAATTAGTGGCGGCTCATGATTTGGACGACAGAACGATCGCACTTCCTACTAAAATGAATTAAAAGAAGAAAATTAATTGTATATTTTTAATTCTACATTTTTATTAAAAATGCAAATTTTCAAATAGTAAATTAGTTATTGTCGTGTGCGAACATTAAAGTTGTTTCCCTCATTTTTTGCGAACTACCCCACTTGTTCATACTATACACTGTATAGTATGAACACCAAAAGCGGGTAGCCGCTATTTACATATTAAGGAAAATTTTTGTGCGAAACTTTAGGAGCGCAGGGCGTAAATTTGTTCCTTTATGTCTAAAGATAATCTCTAAAAAATTTGAGCTTTATACTACTTAATTAACTGGGCGGACATAAAGCTCAAAGTTTTGGAAAAATATGAAAATTTTCAGTGTTTTACATTTTTAGGCTACAGACTTAGTTTTAGGAAAAATATTATTGTATATTATTATATATAATATTGTAGCTATTGTAATTTTCTATAAAAAAGCTCCTCTTACAATTTCGCGTTTAGTTAATATATTTTGGTTAAAATAATAAAACCCGACAATACTCGTTATATATGAAAATATTCAACTATTTGGTTTTTTGTAATTATCTAGTTTAATTTTCGCAATACAAAAAAGAATTTTAAATATAAAATTTATTTAAAATAAAAAAGATAATTAGACAATTTCCCTTAAAACTAATAGTTTTTGAAGTATTGATAAAAATATTCAAAATAATTTCCCGAAACTTTTACAATCATTTTAAAAAAAATAATTATAATAAAAATGCGGTTATATTTATATGTGTATATTCTATATGATTTACTATTGTTATCAAAGAATTTATTTATTATACACCTTATTCAAAACTTTTTTTGTCGCCTGAAAGTATTGAGTTCTATAATCTTGTACTACTTAAAAAAAATATCTTTAAAAATAATTTTAAGTAATCTTTTAAAAAATATATTTTTTCAATTGTAACAAGAAATGTTTTTGTGATTGTGAATTTAATTTTGTATCGTTGAAAAATATTCTTTGAATGTCCATTAAACAGGAATATTAATACATCATCATCACATTTTTCTAAAAATAAAGGTACTAGTTTAAATATAAAGACAGCTTTTCTATTTGGTATCTTTATTGTCTTCGTCAATTTCAGCAAATGTTCTCATTTATTCTACCATTTTGATTTTAGTATCAACACTTTACTATCATCAAACAATGAAAAAGCTACACTTTTGTTTGTTAAATAGTATAAATTATTGACTAACTTTCTAATAGCTATCTCAGAGATATTTTGATCAATATCTTTATATTGATACAATTTTCATAAAAACTGAATATCTTTTAATGGTGCACATATTGCCTCTGGTCCATAAATCCAATATGTAATGTAGCATTTTACAATAAAACATGTAAATAGAGTTAATGGTTTTACTTCATTTTTAGTTAAATTGAACTCAGTACGAAATAAATAAATATTTTAATTCATATATGGCTTTATGGCTATCTACCTTGCCATGTGATAGGCTCCTGGTTTCTTAAATTGTATACTTTCAGGGGGATACCTCCCAAAAAAATGATTGCAAGATCAATTAGCTCACGATAGTCTTCACGAGGATATTTTTCATAAATAGCAATATTATAATTTTTTTAAATATTATCTAAGTCATCACCAACAATACTTCTTATTTCAGATCTATTTATGCTTAGAACAAAATTATTTGTATTTACTTGGGACCAATTAGCTTGGAATCTTTTAAATAGTGGGATATCAGGCCCAAAAATTGAAAATTTAGATTTCCCAAATACAGCTGCTAATACTATTTCTGAAACATAATGTATCCCTTTCTAATTTTTGTTTCAATAACATGCATGCTCCTTTTATCCTGCCAGTATTTGACGCTGTAGTGTCAAATCCAATTGCTTAGACGTTTTTTATTAAGTTCCAACTTTCCAACGTATCATATACAGCTGATGCCATTTCAAGTCCGGTAGCAGCAGATATTTCTGGAACACCTATAAGTTGTTCAGTACCAGCATCTGTAGCAATTACAGCCAATCTTTCGACTGGTTTGCCACTTATATCATGTAATAATTTAGAGTCCCAATGGATTGTTACTATTTTGTCATTAAGCTGAGAAAATTTTTCTTTAATACTTATGTAATTTTTTTTTCGAAATTGTTCCGAATTTCGAAACAAAAATCAATTCCGAAACAATTGTTTTGCAATTGATATTCGATTTAAAACACAAGACGATGGATCTAGAGATACAGCATCCAAAGAAGACATTATTAAATGTATACAATCTCGCCCACTAACGTTACATCTATCCAAAGCTGCAGGTAATCAAGAGGTTAATAATTCTTTGCGGGGCCTTTTTGTGGGATTTTCATAGATTTTTATTTCTTGTTTTTGAACTATTTCTTTTTCGATGTAATCAATTTGCGAATCAGATGAACAATTTTCAAGATCGGCAACATCAAACTCTGCTAAAATATTACAATACAATAGTATAATAATTTTTGTCCTTTTATAAAAGTATATATTTTTATTTATATGACTTAAATATAAAATTTGTAAGTCAAGAACTGTAGTCAATTGGTTAAAATGATACATCATACCCTCACTGTTCACGGTTCGATAATCTTAAGAATAAATGGTTTTTTTTTTAATATTAGTAATTTTGATGGCCATACCTGAAGTAGAAGGAATGCCAATGCCTGCAGATTTAAGTTTTCTTTTGTTATCTTTTTTATCAATACCTACCATACAGCCTGTTCGTTCTTTTTCACGTTGTTTGATTAAAAATTGCTTATCCTCATTGTACTTAATAAGTATTTTTTTTTTTTATCTTTGAATCGACACCACGGGGGAGTACTGCCTTTGCTTTGCTTTCCCCCGAGATGCCATCGTTTATTTATTTAATAACTTCAATGACATTTGCATTTGTACTTATTCTAATCTAATTCTAAACGTTCATAATTTTTAATATACATTTCATAAGTTAAACGCTACCGCTTATTCGTCCATAAAGGCTTATTTCACGGCTCTCTGTATATCTATAGGGTTAACAAGCGTTTGGGCGGCTCGCTGTCCTGGACCGCTTATTCGTTAGCCCAAATAAATGGACTGCTTATTTTGCGGCTAACCTGCATATTTGCAGGCCGTTCCTCTATCCGCAACCTGAGGACGCGCCCGATTCCACGAGCTAGGGAAACTGCGCTCGTGCCGACGTTTCGTAGCCCCGTAGAGCCCGATCACACCGACACTGTAGCGCAGCGAAACGGGAGAGTTGTCCCCTGAAGAAATTTCTTTTTTTTAATATGCTCCTATTGTATCCTGCGACGTCGAAAGAAATTTTTCAAAATATAAATCAATGCTCCGCGACAGTAGAAAAAGTTTTAAATTTGACAATTTAAAATTAAATTTTGTCATTTCTTGTTACTATTCGTTCAATAATTAATATCACAATAATTTTGTTTGTATTATGTTGTTTTAATAATTACGTTAACATTGCATTTATTTTATATATAGATATTTTAAGTGGATTATCTATTTTTATCATCTGTTTTGTAATTTTTTCAATATTTTGTTTTTTTTAACCACCCAAATAATGTGTTTTGTTTGTTTAAAAAAATATATTTTTTTTGCATATTTTCACATTTTTATATTCATAAATATGTGCATATTCAACAATATTTTTTGCATAAAAATCCGAGCCCTAATTATATCATTACAGCATCTATTTCGATGTAGTGGATTAAAGAATGTGAGGAACTCTGCCCTTTACGACATTGTAACCTTACACAATTTTAGCACCCCTAAAATTTTTGTTCTAGTTGCGCCACAATTATTTTATTTTAGTTTTAATTTAGTTATATTTAATTATTTAAACTATATATGTGAGGAATATGTTATTAAACTACCATAGTAAAAATATTATTTTCAAGAATAGCCGTTCGTTTATTTCTAATAGGTTTTGAATTATGTACATACAAAAATAAGTCAATAACAATATTTTTTACTTCAACTTTACAAAATTTATTATTACAATGTAAAATTTTATTTATTCAGTATTTTAATGCAAGTTACATGTCATGATATACGAGTTAACTACATATCAAATGTCCGTTTGGTTAACCACGAACGAATTTGTATCAGCAGACGTATTATTCCATATGTTTTTTCAATACTTTTGTTCCCCAAATAAATAGTTAATAGAGCTGTGAACAAATGGTATGTCGATACTATGACGTTTGGACAGATCTTACACGTTCACGAATATCAGTAATGATAAATTATCCAATAATAATTGGTGATCGTGATTCGAGATGAGCTCATTCATTTGGTAACTTACTCAGACATTATTTTAATTATTTTAATAATTTAGTTAATTAAAACTATTAAAGTAGTTTATAAAACGATCATATAATATTATTAAGTCAGTTACCATTAAACAATTGTGTGTTTATAATTGATTTAAGTGTTAAAACTAAAATAGAGCCAACGCCTAGTTTTTTTTTTTGATAAGCAACATTCCGACGTAATGGCAGCAATCCGTAAGAAACTTGTCATCGTCGGCGATGGTGCCTGTGGCAAAACTTGTTTGTTAATTGTATTTTCCAAAGATCAATTTCCAGAAGTATATGTGCCTACAGTTTTTGAAAACTATGTGGCAGACATTGAAGTTGATGGTAAGCAAGTTGAACTAGCGCTATGGGATACGGCAGGTCAAGAAGATTATGATAGACTGCGACCACTTTCATATCCTGATACTGATGTTATTCTTATGTGCTTTTCAATTGATTCACCCGATTCTCTAGAGAATATTCCAGAAAAGTGGACACCTGAGGTAAAGCATTTTTGTCCTAATGTACCTATTATATTGGTTGGCAACAAGAAAGATTTGCGTAATGATCCTAATACTATACGAGAGTTAAACAAAATGAAACAAGAACCAGTAAGACCTGAAGAGGGAAGAGCCATGGCTGAAAAAATTAACGCATTTGCATATCTAGAATGTTCTGCTAAAAGCAAAGAAGGTGTTCGTGAAGTTTTTGAAACATCAACTAGAGCTGCTTTGCAAGTAAAGAAAAAGAAGAAAGGTAAATGTGCCTTGTTATAAGTTATGTTAAATTAAAAATATAAAGAAATCTACTTAGAAGATAATATATATCATATTTTTATACAATTTTTCAAATTACCATGTCATTTTAAGGATTTTCAGCATTTAAAATAGACCTGATTATTCTAATCAAGGTGCAAAATAAGTATATTGTTTTATTTTTCTATATAAAAACTCTAATTTTAATATTGTATTCCTATTGTTTGCCAAAATTTGTACAAAACAAATATTTTGGAAGATTTTAATTGGGTAATCACTAATCATAGTGTATTTTGTAACTTATTTTAACTTTAATTTTATTAAACAATAACTATTCCGCCAAATTAAGAATTATTCAACTACAATGTAAAAAAATTATTAAAACAATGAGACTCATTTTGCTATCAACAGTAATATATCTGTATCATATATATAGTTTTCTATAGACCTGCTGTGTCAGTGTCTCCATGATGTATTCCTTAGCTTAGTTTTTTTTAATATTATTATGTTTGTTTATTAACCAATATTTATATGCTTGTAATTTTTAAGAAATTTACTAATAAAGAATAGATTTTTAATTAAATCACTTGCATGTTTTTCTTCAAATTTGCAATTTTTTGACTTATTATTATTATTTTAATATTTATAAATAAATAAATATTTATATGAACACAACTTCAGTCATTTTAATATGAAAAAATAATAATCATTATTTGTTATAAATAATGAAGGCTTAAAAGTTAAGCAAATAAATAAACATTTAATTGATTAAGTATTCAATCGACCCACATATAGTAGTCTTATGTGTATGACTATCTATGGGTAGATGTCTACCTCTTTAACAACAAAGTTATTACATCAATAAGTGATATGATTAATTATGGAAATAATTTTATAATTATTATGTAATAATAATAATAATAATAATATATAATAAATAAATAATAAATAATTGTATAATAATAGTACATAGTAGAGGTATAGTTTGGGTTTTGTTTTTTGGGTGTATACAATTTTTATTATCTACTCCAAACAAAAAAAAAAGTATCATTACCGTATAATCATTTTTACTGAGGGAATTTATCTCACTTCAACCACTCCTTCTTGAGACCCACAAAATTGATCTAGTATGTAATAAAAGTAACACAAAAAAAAAGTTGGTATCACCCTAGCCATTGTAAATATTCTTAGGATAATAAATTTTTACATAACAAATTAACATCGTAGAAATTAATATAACTGATACATATTACAACAACTTATGTGGAGTACTTTCAACTTTAAAATTGAATTTTATAAATGTTGACTTTTTTATTTTAATTATACAATTTTCTACATTTTAAATTACTTCAAATAAGTTTTTGTTGGTCTTTAAACTTTAATAGCCTGAAAGTATAAGTTTTGTAATTTTTCCGTTAGTTATGGTCTTATTAATGCAATAGTTTTATTGTATTTAAATTAGTAAGCATATTGATTTCTATAATTATCAACTTAATAAACTCATGAGATAAATTCAATATATGTGAATTAAGCTATTTGTAAGTTTTACTAAAACTTGTATGATTCTTGACTTAAGAGGCGATTATTTAAGTAATCATAGAGAATAAGTTACCAAAATATTTGTCTTTATTTAATCATAGCTTTGATTTTCACAAATGTTAAATAAAGCGAGTATTTGGTTATTATGTAAAATAAACTACAAAACTAGATATTTTTAGCAAAAATTGATTCATTTTTGACATTTAAGCCCAATACCTCTTAGAAATCAAGACTTCAAAAGCATTAATTTTTTCATCATAAAGTATATTGTATTAATTTAGCTTTAATTTGATATATGTTTAAAAAATTTGGTTTTTGGAACATTATCAAAAATTGAATAAAAAAAATAATAATAAGATTTTTGAGCCCTTACAGTACCTTAGTTGTTAATTGGATTTTAAAAAAAGTATGTGTTCAGCAAGAAAAATGTTTAAAGTATTTTAAATAAATATTCGTAATAATTCGTTTGGTTTCAAAAAGCTATTTAAATATAAAGCGATAACTAAAAATATCAACATTGACTGTTGTATACCAACTATAATTTGTTGGAACCTTTCCCTTTATTACGATAAGATTAGGACTTCAGGAGAATTTTTTAAAATTATGGCTCTAATAGTTTGAACTACATAGTTTTGTGCTCTTTTGACTTATTGTGAGCAAAATTGGTCGTGTAGGAGCGAAGTTATCATATACACAAAAAAACACGACTGAATAAAATTAATTATTAAAAATTATATTAAATCAAATATAGATTAATACAACTCATTTGATGGCAAATATGGGTAAGATAATGGAAATAATTAGCTCAAGTTACTTAAGTTAGTTAAATAAAAACAATATTGATAGATTAACAGTTAAAAATTAATAAATTATGAATTGTAAAGTTGAAATTTTTTGGACTTAGATCATTTTAGATAAAGTTTATTGATTCCTTTTGACCTTAATTTTTTTTTTCAAAATCGCTTAAAATCGATTTTTTGTTGATCGGCGATGCTAGAAAAGAGAGAGAATCGATTTTTAACTTTTAAAACGGAACAAGAAGAAAAGTATAAATGATAACTGACAGTTTCGTTACTTTTTATTGTATCCTAACATAGTTTTAAATATTGAGATTGCACTGTTCTATCTTTAAAACTATAGTAGTTATTAAAAACAACTAAAGAATGTAATAAAGAAATTATTATTTTTCTTTATTGTTTCCTAATTAATAATAAGTAACTCTAGTCTAGTTGAAGAAACATAGCTCTCAAGTTTAAAAATTGCCATCCCGAAAAAAATGTAGAAAATTATAATTATTATTATATAAATAAATTGTTTAGAGTAGGGAAAAATTCAATTTAACCCCACTTCAATCTGGAACCTTTGATAAGTAATTTTTTTAGTTTAAACCACCGTACATAGTATATAAAGACAAACATTATTATGAAATTTTTTATTTTATAAAAAGCTTAGTTATTTCAATAGTTAATTAAACTAGTTAATTTAAAAAGTTAAAAATTAACTTTTTAACTAGTAACGCCTACCTTTGTTTTATAGTAATAAATAAGACAAAGTCATGGCCACCCTCCCATCTAATAAAACTAATTATTTTATTTTTAGTCACTGAATATTATTTTAAAGTATACTTCAGGGAAAAAAAGCAAACGTATAAATTTAAAATATCCTCTAATGTAAAATATTGAATAATTATAGACTAAATAAACATGTGTTTTTAATCTATAATGATTATTTTATGAATGCCGTCCAGTATCAATTGTAATACAACAATATTGTAAACAAGACGTACTTTCTATTATATTTCATTTTAGATAAATAATAAAGTTGACAATTTTTTTAAAAAACTGCTCTATTAAGGATAATATATTTTCCAAGAAAGATATTTCTCTCACATTGTCCACCCTTGGACAGAATGATTTAAAATAAATGTTTAAAAAAAGGATACTTGTTTCTTATGAAAAAAAATTAAAATTCGCAGTTGGGTTCCCATTTTAATAATTAATGCAATTATATATAATTTAGAACTTGGCGCCAATAAGATCATGGACGTCCGCAAGGGAAGCAAAGATGGCAATCGCCCATTTTGACTATATGCATTGTTGAGTTAGTCAATCTTTTTATAATAACATTTTTGAGGATGCTAATTTTATTTTCTCACTACCCTAAATGTATATAATAATAATAACAATAATATCTTTATTACGGAAATAACTCCATTTACAATTTATATATAAATATGATAACAGTTGAGAAAACGTAACAATTAAATCACAAATTAATACAAGTAAATATATATTATAGATTATAAATTAATATTTTAACTTCGATGTGAAGCTGAGAAGGTATTAATTTTACTATGATGTGTTTTTTTTTGTTACCACTTTTTTTCAGCTCTCACCGAATGGAATTCTTTCAACGATACGTCAAAAGATCACAAATCGTATCTAGTTGGAGACATTACCCTTAAAGATTGAAAAAAATTCCCTCGTTCCCCGAAAATGGGGGAAATATCCAAAAAAATTACAAATTTAAAAATCGGTAAATTTTGTCATTTTTTTCACTTTTTTTCTTAAAACTTCCATAATTTTTTCAAAAATGAACAAATAAAAATAATATTTTTTTGTATTGAAACCTTAGANATCAAAAATCAACAAATCAACATACATTTTTTTTATACTAAAACCTTAGATATTTCCCTTTCATTTGATATCATTTTTTTGAAAATCTATCACTTAACCTGCTCATTGGGGGGATTTAAAATAGCAACTTTTTTACAAAAAATAACTTTTTCAACTTAATTTTTGAAAATGTTCCGGAAATACTGCGTCCTTTAAACATATATCAAATTAAAGCTTATTTTATGTACTATAAAATGAAAAAAAAAATTTGACCCGACGACCTATCTACTATGCGCAAATGACTACCGCATTTAAAAATATGCTATTTTAACAAATTTTTTTTTTTTAATTAAAATATCTACAGATTTGCATCGAAGCGTTTTTTATGATAGTGATTTTAATCACTGTCAGATATCATCTATACTGGACCCAACTANCAATTTGTCCCGACACTTTATCTTCTACATTTAAACGGCTGCCGTAGTTAAAAAAACACTATTTTTTGTTACAATTTTCGATTTTAAATGTTTTAATTTTCAACTTAAAAATGCTATAACTTTTCGAAAAATGCATGTANACCCCACTGTGCTGGGTTTTTTATTATTATTTAATGTATAAAGATTTAAATTTATCAATGTTACTTTAAACGAAAAAATCCGCACCAGCCCTATTACCTGCCAACATTAAAACAATAATAGGAGAAGATTCTAATTTTTTTTTTTTAATATTTTTTACGTAGAATAAATCTTTAGTTCGGGTGCTAATTTTAGGAATTTTAAATTGTAAACGCTCAAGAAGGAATGAGCAATCAATGTCACTATTAATGAGTTTATATAAAAACACTAAATTTTGACTGTTTCTTCTATAACCTAAAGTATTAATATTAAAAAAACCCTAAAACTCCATCGTAACCAAAATGGGGTATCCTTTCAGCCTTACATTTAAATGATAAATATCTTAGAAAATTATTTTGTATTGAATCTAATTCATGAATTTGAGTAAAAGAATTATTAAACCACACAAGTGAAGCATATTCAAGCCGAGATCTTACTAATGAAAAATAAACTGCTTTAAGGGCATCTGGGCAAAAGAATTCGTGGCAACTTCTTTTCATGAAGTATAAATTAGATGTAGCCTTTATTTTTATCTCATTAATGTGTGCATTCAAATTTAGTTTTGTATCAAATGTAACTCCCAGGTCTTTAACATTATCTACTCTTTTAAGAAGATGATTGTTTAAAAAGTATTCATGCAGTATGGGTTTTTTTTTTTAGTGTAAAGGATAAGATAGAGCATTTATTTGTATTGAGAGTCATACCATTATCGTTACACCACAAAGCGAAATTATGAATATCAGTTTGAAAGCAAATAGTATCGGAAATAGTGTTAATGGGCATAAATAGTTTCAAAAAAAAACATTTTTGAACATAATATGACAACATACATACATTTATGTACATACATATATTATTTATATTATTTTTTTTGGGAAACTATTTCGTCAACTGAGGGAACTAATCTTCTTTTTATTCCACATGGGTTAGACCTCTAAAAAAGAGCGGTTTCCTGACTAAGCTACCCGATTACACCCCTATCTCCTTTTATCGCTAGGGGTGCTGAACATACAGCAAAACCAAATGTTCAAAGAAATATTTTGACTCTCATGAAAATTTTCCGTGGACGACCTTGATTAAGGTACAGCCTTTAACTGTTATAAACAATGTGTAACTGCATTATGGCTATATGTAGCCTAAATTGTAGGTTTTGCTTATGCAAAGCCGTTGCTAGAAGACAAATGGGACATATGTCCAAGATCCCGCACTTTTTTTTATTAGGGTATCTTTACCCTTCAACCCTTCCGTCCTAAAACAGGGACCCCGCAAATATGATATGTCCTAGGCACCACAAAACCTAATGTTTGCACTGCTCTTATGTATAAAATTATCGTAAGTCACTAGCAGAGCTTTAGTAAGGATGTGGGCTTTCATCGTGTGGCAGTCGAATGCATTTACTTAATTACCATAAGCGTCAAAAAAGTTTACTACAGTCCGAGCTCACTCTGTTTTCAGAGTCATATGTCCCCTAAAATGGTTAATCCACAAATAGTAACAAAAAATCTCCTTGGAATGACCGAGCTCGGTAATTATAATAATTATTTAATTAATCCAATTTATATTAATTATAATCGTAATAATAATAAAATTATTAAAATTTATAACATGCATAAAACATTGATGGCTATAACAGAAAATATCACGAAAATGTCGTAGAAATTTAAATTTTAATAACATAATTACCACGAGACAAAAAAAAGAACTTCCGAGTAATAAAATTTGAGGTTATGTTTGCTTACTCTACGAAAAACGTAAAAGGTAAATATTGATATCTGATAAAAATTGTTTTTTATTTTCGTTAATATTATGTTTGTCATTAAACAATTAATCTAATAATAATTGAATTGTCAAGTTAAAGTAAAAATTTAGTTCATTAAAGTGTCAAAATAATCCTTAAATAATGTAAGTACCACAGATATATTACGTGAACTATTTAAATTAACATTTTATTTATATTAGTTTTAACTGTATCATATTAAACGATTAATTTTTATATATTTTACTAATAAATATAAATTTAATTGAGTATATTCAAACAATATTTACTTGAAATCAATTTTTTTATATTTTATAGATAATGGCAGCAATCCGTAAGAAACTTGTCATCGTCGGCGATGGTGCCTGTGGCAAAACTTGTTTGTTAATTGTATTTTCCAAAGATCAATTTCCAGAAGTATATGTGCCTACAGTTTTTGAAAACTATGTGGCAGACATTGAAGTTGATGGTAAGCAAGTTGAACTAGCGCTATGGGATACGGCAGGTCAAGAAGATTATGATAGACTGCGACCACTTTCATATCCTGATACTGATGTTATTCTTATGTGCTTTTCAATTGATTCACCCGATTCTCTAGAGAATATTCCAGAAAAGTGGACACCTGAGGTAAAGCATTTTTGTCCTAATGTACCTATTATATTGGTTGGCAACAAGAAAGATTTGCGTAATGATCCTAATACTATACGAGAGTTAAACAAAATGAAACAAGAACCAGTAAGACCTGAAGAGGGAAGAGCCATGGCTGAAAAAATTAACGCATTTGCATATCTAGAATGTTCTGCTAAAAGCAAAGAAGGTGTTCGTGAAGTTTTTGAAACATCAACTAGAGCTGCTTTGCAAGTAAAGAAAAAGAAGAAAGGGAAATGTCGTTTGCTCTAAATATTTTTTTACAAAAATAATAATAAAAATAAAGTCCAACTGTTATTAAATTTCCATATTTGATATAAAATTGTTGCATATTAGTCTTATGAGCATACATAATTTATTTTGTCTAAAATGTTTGGCTTTGTTAGAATTATTTATGTTTAATAAGAGACATAATATTTTATTATCTTTTTTTTTTTATATTATTTAACAAGCTTGTGGCTTTATTTTCAGTGTTAAATTTTATTTTTTTTTATAAAGTTTAATTCATTATTCATTTTTACTCAATACTGTTACATGGCATTTTATTATTATAGGAACTAATTAATTAAGAGTTAACATGAATATTGAAATTTGCATAAATAAATATAATTTAATTTGCATTAAATCGAATTTTGTATCATTAATGTATTTATCTATTTATACTATATTAATGATTAAGTATTATTTATAATTAAGTATAATTTTCTTATTTATTTTTACTTTTATAAAAATATTATCATTTATCTTATATGAAAGTGTTACTTGAATATTAGCATAAATTATTTAATTTGTCATAGTATATAATTGTTTTAAAATTATTAGCTTAAACATAATTTGTGAACATTTTATTTTCTCACAAATCTTTGAGTCCCTTTGCTTAAAAATTACTATAAATTATTAATAGCATATAAGGATAACTCAAACATATTTAATGAATTCAGTAAGTATTATTTAAAAATTAAAAATGTAATATACACAAGGTAATTTTGTCATATTTCCCAAAAAAATTTTAAATAAAAAGAATTTTAGGTTTATTTTATACTTTGCATATTTTATTATAAATATATTTTTATAATAAATTCCTAGCACAATAATACATTTTGATCTAACATAAAGAGGTTATTGTTATTATTTTATTTATAAATTAATAAGAAATTATTTTTCAATATTTTTCCATGTATACTGAGTATACATACTACTAATATATATATATATATATATATTATTTTGTGTGTAACATTTTTAGTTAATATTCTAATTGTTTTTATATAAATATATTGGCACATTTATTTCCTGTTATTTGTATTATTTCAAAATTATATCTTTTAACAGTTAAATAAGTTGCTAATTGTTTGCTTAAATACAATGTATATTAATTTTTATGTAATCATATAATGATAATTGTTTTCTATAAACTATGTATTAGTTTAGCATTTAAAAAATTGTGAATCTTGTTAGTCATGTTTATTATTATACAGCCAATTTTTTATGACAAATATATACATATATTTTTGAATAATATTTTTTGTAAGTTTGCCTGATAAAATTAAAAAAAAAATTTAGTTGAAGTAAGATTATTATTAGTTAATAATATATTTAGTTGAAATCTTCATAATTTGGTGTATTTGACATTTTAAAAATAAACTATATTTTGTTATAAATTATCATGAAGTAATTTATAAATATATGAAAAATACAAAGTATAAAATTTGTACTTTTAAATAAAATTCTAAATATAATTTTTTCTAATAAAGAATAACAGTTGATATATTCATTTTATAATTATTAAACATATTTTCTTTTATATCATAAAAGTCTTCCATTTTAATAATTGTTAAATTAATTCATAAAAATAATGTTTATAGAATTCTATGAATAAAGTAAAAAACAGACAATTAGTACTATTTTATGTAGTTACAATATTTAATATGGTCGATAGAACTTTTCAGTATAAACATTTTACTGTTTCATGTTAAAATTTATTTGATATTTTGTTTTGAATTAATAGTATCAAATAGGTTAGTATATTTGAAGTTTTTGCAATCACTAGCTGCTCTTACTTGGTGTTAAGCTTTATTTTGCAAAACAAAAATAATCTAGGTGTTAAGTGTATAGTTTACACTACCAAACATTTTAATTATGTTAATACTACATATAATAAATATATGATAAGAGATATGGATTATATTATAATTATAGCTATAATTATTAAATCTAGCAGCTTTACACTGAATACTAAAATATAACATTATGTAAATATAATATATTACATGTTTTATACATTTAAAATAAAAATTGACTATATAAACATAAAAAGTAGTATTATATCATGAAATAATTTCTATTAATATTAACTAGTTTATTTATATAACATTGTAATTTACCTAGTACATTATTAAACACAAAAGGTAATTGTATAAATAAAAAATATCAAGTTCACTTTAAATCCATTTAATTTTCAAAAAATAAAATTAAAAATTAAATGAAGATTCATAGACAAACAAAACAAACAAATAAATACTAATCACTTCTAACACAAAAATAGAAAGGAACTTAGTTCATTAATTAGCTAAGGAAAGATTCATATTAATTTCAAAAACATATTTTACATAATTACTAAATTAAAATCAGTCCTTACATAAATGGACAGACCATCCCAATGCTAGTCTGTCAAATCCACAAGAAAATAAATTTGCAAATGAGTTATCTTCACTCCAAGTTACAGCAGTTACTATACGTCTATGTCTCTGAAAAGTAAAATTAATAAAAAATTAGAAATTAAAAAAACTAAATATTTTAAAATTACATTTCTGGCAGTTCTTGGAATTCTAGTTATTCGTTGTCCACTCATATCATATAACATTACTTGACGATTATCATGTGGAACAGCAATCACTCCACTAGTGGCAATAGCAAAGCGATTTACACCAGAGTCAGCTCTTATTGTAATGATAGGTGATCTCATATTTCTTAATTCCCAGATTTTAATAGATCTATCATCTGATCCAGACACCAATTTATCTTCACCTCCATGTCCAGCTGATGTAAAAATAGCACATGTCACAGTGCTGTACATAATAAATACACAAATAGTTTAAAAATTATACATCAATGGGACTACAACATGTCAGTAGTAAAACTTGAATATATAAGAGGATAATATAAATATGAACAGTGCTTTTAGTGTAGTAGAGCTTTTAGTAGTAGAGTAGTGCTTTTATAATTACTTAAATATGAAAACTAAAATTACTTAAATATAAGTCAAGACTTGGTAAAACAATGATTTTATAAAATTTTATTTTTTTATTATTTTATAACTTTTTTAAAAATATTATAACACTTTATTGAATTTTAGGAGGTACTAATTTTTAAAATGAAGAGGCTAAGCTTTATAAATACATAAATTAAAAAAAAAAAATGGTAGCATAGTATGGACGTTGCATAGTTGGGACAAGTATACATGATATCTGATAGTGATTGAAATCTCTATCATAAGAAACGCTTCAATGCAAATCTGTAGTGTTTAATTTTAAGAAATTGGTGGATTATTCCAAAAGCAAAATTAACTCCTATTTTTTGTTCTACTTCGACTGCCATTTGCAAATAGAAAATAAGTCGTTGGTACAACTTTTATTTTTTGAACTTCTAGTACATACAATAACTTTTATTTTAACATATACTTCAAAACACATTATTCCCAGAACATTTTTAAAAGTTAAGTTGAAAAAGTTCTACTTTTTATTAACTTTTATGAGGAGGAAAAATAAGTATAAATTTATATTTAATATAAGTTAGATTCACGTAAATTTTTTTGGTGGACTCATTACTATGGCAAACTCTTATAAGGTAATTTAGAATAAACAAAAAAAATTAAATTTGAACACAAAAATAGCATGTTTTTTAACTACGGCAGCTGTTTGCACGCAGAAGATAGATCATCAATTTTTTTTTTTATTTATTGTATGCAATATAAACTTTAATTTGACACATGTTTTAATGATGCAGTATTTCCGAAACATTTACAAAAGCTGAGTTTTGTAAAAAAGTTGCTATTTTAAATCCCTCTTGTGGGGACGCACAGTGGGACCAAACGCTGATTTAGCCGGCCAAAAGTACCATTTTTAAATCAACAAATAAAAATTTTTTTTTTAGCAAATTTTTTTTATTATATCCTTATAAGGTCATGTACAAAAATTCAAGGCCAAAAATTGATATAGTAATGGTTGGGTGCTATTTANGGACGTAAAGGTTCAAATAAAAAATATTATTTTAATTGTTCAATTTTCAATAAGTTATGGTAATTTTAGAAAAAAGTGAAAAATATGTAAATATAATATGAAATTTACTGATTTTAAAAATCGTAATTTTTTGAGGGATTTTCACCATTTACGGGGAACAAGGGAAATATTTAAAATTTTTAAGGGTTATGTCTGATCAAAAGCTATTTTTACCAAAAATTGAATGATTTTTAGATTTATTGCCCGATAACTCCAAGAAATCGAAATTGTATTAGCTTTAATTTGTTGTAAGTTTAAAAAAGTCTATATTTTTGGAACATTATAAAAAAACTTTTTTAATATTTACGCCCCCTTTCCAGTACTTTGGTAAATAATAGGATTTTCATTTGTTTTAAAAATTACCATTGAAAAAGGTTCCTTTAATATGTCAAATGTGATAAAATGTCCTCTTTGCTCTCCAATTCTGGTGACATTGCTTTCATGCTTTGCAAAGTAGCCAAAATGAAATATAAAGTTATAGGTGGATTAGATTTCTATTAAAAAAAATAATTAATGAACTCTTCAACTGAAATTAATAGTTTTTTCACTAACTATACTTTCAATGTTAAGATATGAAGTTATTAATTTTACAATATGTTTTTTTTGGGTTTTTTATCACTTTTTCTTAGCTTTCACGAATCTGAATTTCTTTCAATGATAAGTAATAGATCACAAATATTATTTACAAAGATATTACTATTAAAAATTGAAAAAATTTCTTTTGTTTCCCTGGAAAAGCTCAATAAAATTACAATTTTTAAAATAGGTAATTTTTGAAATTTTTAAAACTTTTTTTAATTAAAATTGCCAAAACTTATTGAAAAATGGTTGAATAAAAACAACTGTTTCTTTTAAATAGATACTCTGTGTAATTTCCTATAATTTTATATATTATTTAGTTAATTTGACCATATACCTGCCCACAGGGGGAATTTAAAATAGTAATTTTTGCACAAAAATTGAACTTTTGAACATGTAATGGAAATATAGTTTTATAAATATTTTATGTAATATACTTTAATTTGAATGACTTATCTTTTATGTGCAAATGGCTGTCACATATAAAAATATGCTATTTTTGTGTTAAAATTCTCAATTATATATTTTCAACTTTATATTGCTATAAATTTTTAAAAAATGTATTAATTAATACAAATTTTTTTTGATAAGTACTTTATACATACCATTGAACTTCTTTGTGGTAAAAACGGACATTAAAGTTAAGGGAAAAAGTAGTTTTTGAGTAAAAATTTCAAAATACCAAATTTTTTTAGTAAATTGTTGTACAAAAAATTATTTAAAAGAGTTTTTAGGAAAGTAGTATAAACTGCATTGACATATTAAGAAAGAGGTGATCAGGAGACTATCCTATCAAATTTTTTTTTCCAAAAATATTTATTTTAACTTTAAAAAATTGTATGTATAATTATGTAAAAAACATTTTTAAAAAGGAATTTAATAGCTTTAATGAGAAGTTGAGAAAGTATTAATTTTACCTTGATATTTTATTTATTTTTTTGTGTCTATCACTACTTTTTCTCATATCTCACTGGACCAAATTTTATTTAATTGAAATGTTTTATTTAGTATATATATTTAAAAAATTAAATATCTCTGCAACTAATAGAAGTATAGAAATTGTTTTTATACTCAATTACAAAGAAAAATAATATTTCTAAAATGATAAATTTTTAAATTATCAGACTAAAATATATTTTGCTAAACAAAATTTTTGTGCATAGTTCAAATCTGTAATTAGATTTCTTCCATTAATTTTTTTTTTCAACTTTTATTAGGTTGCTTTACGTTTTTAACTTCGTTCTCCATTTATCACAATCTTCAGCAAGTCTTTTTAATCTGGTGTAAGTATCAATCCCTGCGTCATTTTTCAGTTGAGATATGTACGAGTTTCTTGGTCTTCCTGGTGGTTTTCGTCCTTCAATTGCACCTTCTATTATAGTATGGTGCAATTCTTTGTCATGGCGTAAAACGTATCCCATTGTCGTCGCTTTATAGCTTTAATTATGGATCTTGTTTCTTCAACTTGGGTCAGTACATCTTCATTTGTTACTCTTTCTGTCCAATTTATTTTTTCCATTCGTTTCCAACACCACATTTCGAATGCTTCAAGGGATCTTTTTTCCTTTTCATTAATAACCCATGTTTCGCAGCCATAAAAAGCAATACTCCATACAAACGTTTTTAAAAATGACTTCTTTAATGCCCTGCTAATTTTTTTTGAAACCAAAATTTTCTTTTTCTAGATAAAAGCTGTTTTTGCTTACCCTATTCTTTGTTTAATTTACTGTGAACTTCTTCCGTCTGATGTTATTAAACTTCCCAAGTATTTAAAACTAGAAACTTGCGAAATAAGTTGGTTTTCTAAATAAATATTTGCGTTATTTGTGGGTTCATGAGCACAAACTAAAATTTTTGTTTTACCTGAATTTATACGCATTTGATACTCATTTATAATTACTTGCATTTCTGCCAGGGCTCTCTGAAAGTCGTGCTGTTTCTGCTAATATTACGATGTCGTCTGCAAACCGGATCATTGGAATCAATATTCCACCCACTTTAATTCCGATCCCAAGCCTGTTAAGTTTATCTACAACTTCGGTTATGCTTTTGTCTACGTAGCAGATGAATAATAATGGTGAAAGTGTCTTGTACCTCTACGTATTTTCGCACTAGCTGACTCGTTATTTATTGTAATTTCTGCACTTTGATTTTTGTAGAGGTTATATATAATTCTCCTGTCTTTAAAATCTAAATTTAATTCCTTCATTATTGAGAACATAATTTGCCAATTTATGTTGTTGACAGCTTTTTTGATATCTATAAATGATAAGCATGTTATTTTATTTCGAGATATTTGTTTTTCTATTAAGATCCTAAGTCCTAATATTGCCTCTTTAGTTCTCTTTTGTTTTCTGAATCCATAATGATCATTTCCGAGATATTGGTTGGCTTTATTATATATCCTTTGATATATAATTTTTTAAAATAAGTACATATAAAAATTACATTTGATTTTTAATATGTTATAATATCCCCGTGCAAAATTTTGATTCAAAATATCATGTTTTATCTACATTTTTGGTTTGATAAGGTTGATTTTTATGAAAGTTTATAATCTAAAAATGTTAAACTTTTAAACATTTTTTTGACTTAACTTGCAAGTTTGAGATTGATATCATTAAATAAAAAATTAAAAAATATCAAGGACTTAAAAAATTGTATTATTTAAATTGATATTCGGCAAGGAACTTATATAATTACTATTAACAGTAAATTTATGAGGAAAGTTCAAAATTTTGCTAAAATCACTATTTTTTTGTATTAATATCAAAATCAATCATTTTAATAAAAATCGTAATAATTTCTAAATAACTCTTGGTGTTTAAATATATGCTACAATTAAATATTCAGAAATATTCACTTAGCTGATGTGTTATTAAATATCATTTTAACCTATATTTTTTTACATGTTAATACTTGTATTTTATTATTTATTAATTATCTTAACAATTAGAGTCAATAGAAAAAATCTAATTGCAGATTTAAAATCAGCAAAAAAATATTGAAAAGTAAAGTTTATTTTTGACACATTATTTTTGATTCCAAAGAATGATTTTTTGAAAAGTTTTGCATTTAGCCCTTCAATTTTGATACATATTTGCCAAAGAAGTAACAAAATAAACAACTACTTCATAGTTTTGAATAATTTCTCCGTAAAAATTACAATATTACATTATTAAATATAAATTTCATACTAAATTTAAATAATATAAAAGATATTTATTCATATATTGTATTTATATATCAAAAAATTACTAATCAGGATATAGTTAAAGAAATAAATGATAATGTTTTAGAATAATCTACCAATTTCATAAAATAAACAATATTTACAGTTATGCATAAAAGCATTTGTTATGATAGTGATTTTAACCCTTTCAGTCCTAACATCAGAAAAAATGAATAAAATCAATTTTCTATTTTTATAGACTATTTGGTTATAAAACAAATAATAAATACTCTAATTTTATTTTAATATATTATTTATTTAATATATATGTTAACATTTTTATTTGATATACTTATTGTAAATGGGACTCAGATATTTCAACCAGAAGGTTTATACAATAATATTAACCATATCACTTTTTTAAGCAATTTTCAAGTAGGGACTTAGATGTCACGTCTGTTCTGAAAGGGTTAATCACTGTTAGATATCATTATACTTGTCCCAACTATACCATGTCCCCATTCTACTATTATTTTTTTTTTTTTAATATTTTAAGTATGAATTTACTCAGTATGTCCTTGAAAAACAGAAACTGAATGAATAGCTTCTCGAAAATCCCATAATCTGAATGTAGTATCTCGTGAAGCAGTGACAACTAATTTTTGTGAATGATGTGAAGATGTATAAGTTAATTCTTCATCGTGACCTAATACATAAAATGTTTAAAATAATACAAAATTTAATTTTTATGTTAAAAAAAAAATCTACATTACACACCAGTTAGGGTATTTATTATTTCCTTGGTTTCAACATCATACAAATGAGCTGTTCTGTCCNAAAAATTTAATTTTTATGTTAAAAAAAAAAATCTACATTACACACCAGTTAGGGTATTTATTATTTCCTTGGTTTCAACATCATACAAATGAGCTGTTCTGTCCCATGATGCAGTAATTATTTGATCACCACCTAATAGCCAATCTGCTGCCAAAACTGGTCCATGATGTCCAGTAAATGTACATGATGGTGTGCGCAATACTGGAACAACACGATCATCTTCTGCTTCGGTATCATCAGATTCTCTATCTCTCTTTAAATAATAAAACTTAATTTATTAATACATTAAACAGTTTTTGACACAATACATACTAAAATATCTAAGTTGACAGCAGCTTGCCAAATGTGAGTTGATTGATCACCACTAGATGTAAGTGCTAAATCTTTAGAAGGATGAAATTTAATAGAGTTAATTGATCCTGAATGACCTACATATTGCAAAAGTGGTATTCCTGATTCAATATTCCATATTCTTGCTGTATGATCTAAAAAAAAAAGGCTAATGTTTCAATAATATTAAAATTGTAAATATTCTTTACCAGCCGAACAGGTTCCAATTACTGGTTGCCCAGTTCGTGGTAAGCTGACATCCCATAAGCCATCTCTATGGCCACTATATTCTTTAACACACTGACAATTAGCAGCAGAAGGACTTTTAAAACTAGATACAATTTTGCTGGTTTGTGCTTTTAGTTTTTCAGCAGTTTTAAGTTTTTGACCTGTAGGGGGTTTTTGCTTAGAATTAATTTGAAACTGTTCAGTTGATAAACATTTTTCATTGATTTTTTCTGTAAGAGATTCCACTTTATCTTGTAAAACAACATTTTCTTGATGAATAGACCCAAATTCTTTTTCTATCAGTCCAAATAGGTGAGATAATCTTTTTCGAACTACGGGTGGAATATCAGTTTCAGATTTATGCATATTGTAATATCTTTATCACAGACAATGTTTATATGAAGTTTAAAATTTGGCACATATGTTGACTAATTTAATATTGTACAAGTTGAAATTTTTTATTACCACTAATAGTGACTCGTGAACTCGGTCGGTACTCGTGTAATTGATCCAAAGTAATGAGTACATTGGTGGAACGAGTACAACCGAGTATACTTGATCGTTACACTATCGTTCCGTTAGTACAAAATAGAGTTGATCCCCAAATGATTTCAGTGGTGACCTGAGTATTTGAGTAGTTCTTGCTTGTTCGGGATTGTGTAAATACGACCTACAGTAACTGTCTATTTGGTAAACCATTGACTAGGCTGCCCTCTTCTTACTGTGATGGAAAACTAACGCTATCTTTAGGTTTTTGAATAATTTAAAAAAAAAGACAGTTACTAGACCACCAAATTTTAAAACTGCTAATGGTATCCATCCACATATTTTAAATTAGTAATGGGCTTAATCAAATTATTAGTAATCCAAAGAATCTCTTAAAATTTTACACGAAATTAAAATCGTTTATTCTTTTGATAATAGTAATCGATTTTCTTAATGATTTTGAGTATGTTTCGATTACATTAAATATATTTATAACTTATAACCAAATTATTCAATTAAGTATAAGTAAAGAAATATGCATAAGATGTTTTAATAATACTACGTACTAATGTATAATGTTTTTATACTTTATTGAAATTTAAAATATACTAATTCAATTACGAAATTACGATTATTTTACTCATAATCCAAATATTTTAATTATGCCCATCACTAGTTAAAATATGATTATTCATATTAAAAAATAGCCTTTGGTTTTCTTTTTTATAAGCTAAGCCCCTTGTATGGCCTCTATTAATTGAATGTAAAAGATACAACACGTCTAAATCAGAGCTGAATTTAGACTTTTGACGCCCCTGGCCAATTTTTTTGGGCACACCATTGAGAAAAAAAAATCGTCAATTTTTAACGCTGGTATGAGCATTAGGCCCTTTTGGCTAGGTGCTAATAAATAACCATTTATATAATGCTAAAAATGAAAAAAAAAAGTTAAGTGCAGTATTTTTGTTGTATTTTTTAATCGAGATATTTTTGAATTAGTATTGATTGAAAGTATGACTTATTGAACTCTGTCACAAGTAAAACACTTCGGTGCGTATTTTACAAAAAAAATGATATAATGATTTTGCCCCTTCCAAGTACTTTGATTTGTGATAGAATTTTCAAAAAAGGATGTTGATAGTTATAAATTATTTTATTTATTATCTCTTAAAATTTTATTTTGATTCAAGCATTATTCAAATAGGTATTAGATCGATTTATTATAATCATTAAAAATTACATTCTGTATAGTACATTAAATAATCTATAATTTAATTTTTTTTTGAATGAGAATGTAAATGTTGAGTTGCTATTCAAAATACTACAAAATGGGCAATTGTTACCGAAAATTGTATGATTCTTTACTTTAATGCCCAATATTTCCTAGAAATCAAGTTTTTGGATATTTACCATCTTCAAGTACATAAAATTTGCTTTGACTTTGTGTAAGTTTTTAACGAGTCGGGTTTTTTAACATTATGAGATATTGAAAAGAAAAAAAGATTTGGTATTAGTTTCGTTTCATCAGTTTTTTAACAACATTTTGACTCTCAGGCATAACAACAAAAAAGTTTATTTATTTATTGTATTATTTAATCAAATATTTTAATATTTAAAGGTGATAATTTCATAAAAAAAAAAACCTCCTACTATTGAAGCAATTATTGAGCTATCGGATTGAGAAAATCGGATCCTTTGTTATGGTGGAATGAAAGGAAAATGATGTTTCCTAATTTATTTGATCTTTTATTGTTGAAATTATGTGTTCCTTCAACTTCTGTTCTGTGCAAACGGACATTTTCTAAAACGGGAAGTTAAATAATTTAACAACATAATTATTATGTTATAAATGATTTTAAATTTTAAAGAGATTGAAAACATTTTTTAAAATAAATGTTGTTTTGAAGATATTTTTAATTTTGTAATATACTTATATAATTAAAAAAAACAGTATGTTATTTAATATATTGGTTAACAACATGATAGTTTTATACTTTAATAATTGATTATACCTCATATTAACTTGGCCAAAATACGATATGTGTTTAAAAAGTACGGTTATTTATTTATTCTGTGGTAAGGTATCTATTTTTTTTTCATTAAAATTTAATATTATGCCTATCAATATTTTTGTATTATTACTGCTAAAAAAAAAAGTCTTATCTAAACATTTTCTGAAAAGCATTCGCGTCTTTTAAAATATTACCTGATGAGTAAATGACATAGACATATTTATAATCAATAAATACATATTTATTGATTTATTATTGGTACTGTACCTACTAACGTCTCGCGTAGATACAACTGTTTATATGATCAATAAATACTGGTTTGGTTTGGTAACGGGTTGCAATGAAGGTACTCAATTACAATAAAGTAAAAGTACTTTGGAATCGTTACTTTTAAGTAACTGTACCGAAAGGAACGATTCCACTAATATGTTGAATACTAAAGATGCAACATTATTTAATTAAACATAAATATTAAATAATAAAAACAGCGATGAGTATAATCTAAGAAGTTATTAAAATTAAAAAGGTAAATAAAATAATATTTTATATTATATATTATATAAGAAATTAAAAGACTATATTCTGTTTTCTCAATTTATTTAATATTCTCAAAAATGACACATAATTAAAAAAAATCTTTTGAAAAATTTACAAGTGTAAAATCTTTATCCAGTATATTTGAATACGGTAATGCAGGATAATGAGCAGGTATACGTTGTGGAACTTTAATTGGAGGAATAACAGGTGGATTAAATGCCACTTTTGAAGGATCATACTCCTTGAACCACTCACTAGGTGTCCTAAAAAGAAAGTTAAAAATAACTACAATTAGCTAAATAAATATAATAGTAAACATTTCATTAAAACTTCACAGAACTTAAATTAAATATAATTAAGAAATTTTTATGATTATATTGTTTTTTTTTATAAAGGTTTACAAAAATTTATTTTTATTAAGTTATAAAATTTCAATATTTAATTTTAAATACTCTGTAAGATTTAATTTATAATAATTTTAATAGTAGCTTAGTGGCAAAGTTGACAAAAATTGTTACTACTTAGATGTCCTAAAAGTCAAGGTAAAAGATTAGAATGTTTGAAATTATTAAATGAATTGAATGTTGTAACATATTTGATTTAGTTTAAATCAGTTCTGAATAAAGGAAGGCGGGTGTGACCAGGATAAATTAATATAAGGGATATATTATAATTTTATTAACTTAGTTAGCAGAAAATTAGTAAATTATAACTTTCTCTTTTTTACTCATAACTTCATTATTTGGGTAAAAATGAATGAATGAATGAATGTTTATTGAAAGTGGCTTTTGGGACTTTCACCCATGTAACTCAACAAATCCTTATCCCTCCCCTTATTAATTTAAATAGAATAATTAACTAAAATAAATTAAAATGTAGAATGGATACATAACTTTAAAAATTAAATTAATAAATTTTAATACAAAATAACAATTTTATGATTTATTTAACCTACATTTTTGCTAATTCTGGCTTTAAATTTATTTGATTTGCCTGTGCAGCTGTCAATGAAGCTACAATTTTAGACAGCTTACATACTTCAGGATGATAATGTCTCTGGAAACAAAAATACATAAATTGTTTGTTTAAAATATAGCAATTTCATAGCATTATATAGATCTAAATATTTGTAGATAATAATAACTTGTTATAGTCTAATATACAAACTATTCATTAAATAATTATGATATATTTTTAGAAAATATATAATATTGATTTTTCAATGACAATGTATGGATAAGGATGAAAAATTTTTGTTTTAAAATTAAAACTATTAATAAGCTTTTAACATGCTATTTTAAAATATATTGTGAATATGTTGGAAGTAGAGGGAAAATTTCCTTTTTTTAGAGATAAAATTTTTTGAAATTTACTAGAAAAATATACACAGGTATATTCCAAACCATAGCTAGTAATATAAAATGGCGTCTTTTAATAATAATATGGTTTACAGATAAGTTAAAATTAGGGATTAATAAAATAGATTTTGATAAAGAACCAGAGGTTACAAAATAAATATCTAGATTCAATGGTATGACGAAAATGTAATTTCAAAATTAGTCTGAATTTAAAAGTAAAATAAAGAAAGAAGGTAATTAGTATCCCTTTCTTATATTTCATATAATTTTATATTATTCAGGAATTTCGAATGGACTAGCTAGAATTATGATATAACTTTAGTAACATCTATGAGTAATTTAAAAGATTTATTAGATAACCCTACAGATGAAGTAGGAAAAGAGGGATAAATTGGGCATTTATTAAAATTCAATGTGAAAGTTGTAATGAATTTTTTGTAGGACAAACTTAAAAAAACCCAGCACAGGGGGGTCACGGCACAGTGGTGACGTGGCATAGTTGGATCAAGTATAATGATATCTGACAGTGATTAAAATCACTATAAAAAAAAAATGCTTCGATGCAAATCTTTAGATAGTGTTTAATTTTAAAAAATTGGTGTATTATACCAAAAGCTACATGATCTGCTAGTTCATTATTAATATCCTGATTAATATAAAGTATGTTGAATGTAAAAGGGATTATTAAAAAATATTATTTCTCATAAAAAAATTGTATTGATCCATATATTTTTCAAAAAGTTATAGCATAATAAAGTTAAAAATGTAAAATATAATATCGAGAATTTTCATACAAAAATAGCATTCGGTAGCCATTTTCACCACAAAGACAAGTTTAGAGGTCAAATTTTTTTTTTCAAATTAAAGTATATTACATTAGCTTTAATTTAAGATATATTTAAAAGTGTCAGACCTTCCGGAACATTTTTAAAAGTTAAGTTGAAAAAATTAATTTTTTGTAAAAAAGTTGTCATTTTAAATCCTTCCCTGTGGGCAGGTTAAGTGTTAGATTTACAAAAATTATATACGGGGAACGAGGGAAATTTTTTCAATTTTTGAGGGTATTTAGATTAGCATGCTCAGATTAAGAGTATTAGATTTAAGATGATTTTTTTTTTGACTCATCATATTTCAATAAGATTTGATTCTTCATTCTTAATTTATCTTAAATTGCCATTGTAAGCAATTTGAAATAAGACAATAATAAATTAATCTAAGGATTTTATAGCAATTCAATAAAGTTGTATACATGTAATACTAGAATATAAACAATAAAGATTTTTTAAGTGATTTTAATAATAAGATTAAACAAATTTTATTTGTAGTATATAATATGTAGTAATAGTAAAACAATAAGCTTCTAAATAAAATAATAATATTACTGATATGTTACCTGAAGTGCTAGTAGTTCCCACAGTGCAGTACTACCAGCATTGCAATGTTCAGGTTCTTGAAGCTCTGCATCATATATTCCTTGACCATATGATGGATCTACGTCTAAAAGAGCTTCACTATTTTTGTTTGTCTGAAAAACACATTTAAGGAATTTATTTAATATGAGGAAATAAAAAATTCATTAAGATTTGTTTATTTGTTTTCATAATACTAGTGGTTGCAATAACCTATTTTGATAGTAACATTATATTATTGGTATTTCTCATTTAGATAATCGACATAGAAAAGTTTTCTGAAAACTACTAAAATAAATAATTTATGGGCTATCATAGCAGATAACACAAATGATTGATCACATAAAAAAATTATAAGAACAAAATTGTTTGTAATTTTTTTTTCTATCATATTATAAAGTTTAAAAGTACGGATTCACTCCAGTTAAGAAAATTATAAATAATAATATTTATCCCTGAAGGAACGAAAAATAAATTATTTAACTACATATTATTGTAGAGTTTTTGAACTTATTATATATTCTCTTTACAAAAATAAAAAATTGTCAATAGTTTCTGAGAAAATGACTGTCTTACAAGATTTTGATAACTCTGTAAAAAAAAGTATATGACTGGGTGTACCAAAGCTTATTGGGAGGAAGATTTCTCAAAAAGAATACATAATTGTGTTTTTATATAAGGTGTGTTCAGAAAATAACAGGAATTTTGTTTTTTTGAAAAAAATATTTATTATTTGTCTTCAATAATATTGTCGCCTTTAAAAAATTTACCATTATATATTATGTGCTTGTACTGACGCTTTTTCTAATCATCGAAACACTTCTCAAAATTCAATCTTTGGGATAGTTTCTAGCTCATTCAGTGAATCGCACTCGTAAACCCTTGTTTTACTCATGGCAGATTCACCAGGTCTTTATTATAATTTCACATACTTTGTTACACTTTATTTCTTTTATTACACAAAATTTGAAGCAAATCCTATGATTCATTTTTTTTAAAAAATGAATATCGTAAAGAATAAAAACACATATCATAATAACCTCAGCTGCTACTACTGACAAAGTAAAAAACGAATCCATCTAAATTTTTTATCATATTTCAGGGACATGTGTACCAACATTATGAAAATTTTGTTTGATAATCAGACATTCTAAAACCGTGAAATTTAAAAATTTCCCATTATTTTCTGGACACACTTCGTACACAAAAATATTAATATATTTTTGTTCCAAAATTCTTTTAGGAAGCTCCTATTTTAAGAATAAAAATATATAAATTAAAATTAGAATTACTTGAATGATAGTTCGAATAGCAGATAAAATACCAAGACTTGAATTATGTAAAGTTTGAAGAGCTAAAGTAGACATTCTTTTGATAAACGATAATGTTGAATTTGCTGTAACTTTTTTTCTTCCCATTAAAAATAATGCTTCAATTGTTCGTAGAAATGTTTCTAAATTATCATGATTTTTACCTATAAAATAATACATTACATAATATATTAAAAAAAATTATATGTTTATAGCTTACAGCAGTCTAGTTCAGGAATGACTTTGAATAAGTGTGTATAGAAATGTACAGGGTCAATATTTATTACTGAGCCTTGGCCTGATAATATTACAAAAATAGTTTTTATACAACAAAGTTGTTCATACACATTTAATTGATGTTTCTTAATTACAGCATCAAGAACAGTAAGAATATCATGGTAAAACTCTAAATTAATTGAGTGGCTATATCTAATTAAAAGTAAAAAAGATATTAATGTATTTACAAAAATTGTTTTGGTAAGTTAACTTACTTGGCTAAACCTTGAAGACAAATGGAGAGTAACTTAGAACGAGGTGCTGTTTTTAAAATTCTGAAGTATATTAGAAATACTAGTTTAGTAATTTCAGTTAAATTATTCATGTGACTTTTAATATTTTCTTCAGCTTTGGTCTCCAGCATTTCTTTGTCTAGTTTATCCAACATTTTACTTCGCTAAAAATAAATTATATTACATCATTTAATGGATATCATCAAGAATAAATAAATTACCTTTCTTTCTTTTTTAGACATAGCAAGTAACTTTTGTTTTCTAGTCATAAATTTTTTTGATTTAAGAATTTCTTCTTTTTCTTGGTCAAGATTTACATTTTTAATGGGTAAAGCTAGAAGTACAGATAATAACTCACTATGTACACAATGACTACGAGTTTTTACTAGTTGGTTGATACGGCGAACAATCTGTAAATGTATTAAAATGAGTATAAAATTTAAATAATTATTAATTTAAGAAATATATAAATTTTTTAGTGGTTTAAATGGAGATATTAAATGAATTTACCACTAGAGATATTGCTCCTTTTTTATCTTCTTGAAAAACTTTGGTGAATGTTTCTTCTATTTTTTTTCTAACATTAGCATTTTTATTATCTAAATATAATGTCAATAAATGACCTATATTTATTGCATAATTGAAGTATGAATGTGATAACAATAACTCACATAAACAATTAATAGCTATTTCAGCTAAACTAATGTGGACCTAAAACATAATTTTTTTAAATTTGTTTTAATATAATTTCTACTGATAATATATTTATTTTTTCTAAATTTTTTGATAAAAAATCTTAATTTTAATTATTATTATTATTATATGAATGAAACAACTATAGGGTGACCCATTAATTATAATTTTTGACTATTTTTAATAACTAAATATTTTTCTATTTACTAAGAATTAAGCATTTTCTAGGGCCATACCACACCATATACTCTACAAGAGTATTAACTTTTTTTTTTATGGATACATACAGATGTAACTAGTTTATATATTTGAAAATGACCATTATTTCCGAGGAAATAAGTATTTTTATGTTTTGATTGGAAAAGGAGTATGGCTGAGAAATGCATTGATTAAAATAGTCAATTTTATAACACTCAAATTTTATATATTAAGTGTTAAAAACTTTGAAAATACAAGTTAAAAAATTGTTATTAACTAGTTTCTTAATAAAAAATTTTTTAATACAAAAACTAATTAAATATTAATTTTTTTATTCAAAAATATTGTTTAAAATAATTTTGAAAAAGTTTAGAAGTGGAGAAATGTTTCATGAAAAGTTTGAGCGTTTAAAATTTTAAACTGACAATAAAAAAATTCATAAAAAATAACCAATATTTTCATTCTAATATATTTGTAACAAATTGTAGCTTTTTTACAGCTTTAAATGGTGATATATTTTTATGTATTAAAAACTTAACCTTGAAAATTTGCATAAATATGTAATATTTTATTAAAATTTTAAATAATAACGGTTGTTTATACAAAAGTTTGATGTTAAGAGTTTAAAAAGGCTTTTTTTAATTACTTATATATTTTTATAAAAGACATAAAAAAAAAAAAAATACAAAGGAAAACTAAAACTTTCTATAGATCAATTTAAAAAAATTTTGATTTTTAAAATCTATCATGCTAGTTTTTCTAGACGTATTTAACCACTCTATAACTTTGGAACTGGTTGAATATAACTTCTTATTGATATTTTATTTTAGTTTAGGTATATTGAACAGAATAAAATTTGGGATGATAAAAAAATACTTAAAGGTTTGTCTTGTTAAATATAAATTGAATGATCATAACAAAAAGTAAACATTATTTTATTTTACAAAAAATTTTTTTAAAGAGAATATGTAATAGGTCCAAAAAACTCTACAATAATATGTAGTTAAATAATTTATTTTTCGTTCCTTCAGGGATAAATATTATTATTTATAATTTTCTTAACTGGAGTGAATCCGTACTTTTAAACTTTATAATATGATAGAAAAAAAAATTACAAACAATTTTGTTCTTATAATTTTTTTATGTGATCAATCATTTGTGTTATCTGCTATGATAGCCCATAAATTATTTATTTTAGTAGTTTTCAGAAAACTTTTCTATGTCGATTATCTAAATGAGAAATACCAATAATATAATGTTACTATCAAAATAGGTTATTGTAACCACTATTATTATGAAAACAAATCAATAATACGTTTTTACTTGACATCCAATTTTTTAATAAACCTGTAAAACACAAATAGTTCACATAAAAACAAATTTTACAGACAAAATTGTTTATAATTTTTTTTTTTCTATCATATTATAAAGTTAAAAATAGGGATTTCCCCATTTAAAAAAATTATAAATAACAATATTTATCCCTGAAGGGACAAATAATAAATTATATAATAATTATATGTAATTATTACATATTATTGAAATTTTAAAATTTAAGTGTTTTTATGAATTGNTATTATTGAAATTTTAAAATTTAAGTGTTTTTATGAATTGGTGTACAAAAAAACCATTAAGTATTGATATGAATCTATGGTTGATGTCATTTTATTTGCTCTGATTATGTACAGTGTATTTAGATAATAGTTATTATTAAAAAAAAAATCAATGAAAATACAATAAAAAGTTATAAATATTATTTAAAAAAATACTAGCCTATACAATTTAAATTATAAATTATACCAAATACTTGTATCACAACATAAAATAATTTTTAGATATAGTATGCATAACTTCAAATTTTAATTTAAAAAATATTATTGATATGGTAAAGTAATAGATAATTGCTACTTACACTAGTTATGATTCTTGTATCTCCTTTTTTTTTGTGAAGTTTACTAGCCATTTTTTCTAAATGGGTTAGATAAATTTTATATCCTTTTAATAATTGCCCTTCATAACCAATTAATTCTTTGGTAGTTAATTTTACTATAAAATAAATATGTATAAGTTATTTCTTATAAAAGAGCTACTAACAAAATAGGTAGCAATGTGTCATAATTTAAGAATTATTTTTAATACAAAACTTATTCAGCAATATAAAGAAATTGACATTTGCGTATTTTAACAAACAAAATAGTATTATTGTTTTATTTTTTATTGTGTGTTAAAAAGTAATTTACTTTTTGATTAATTATAATAAATAGGATTATTTTGTGAAATAATTATAATTCCTGCCGTTAGGAGATAAGAATACTTCTGCAGTTCCTTTACTAGTCGTAAAAAACAATTAATGAGGTTCTGTTAGGTTGATAGCTTGTGTAAAATTTTGTCAAAAAGTATGAGGAGTCCTGAACAGATATTAGGCGGATTGTCCCATCTTGAATGTACGCAGAGACAACAGGTGAGTGGAAATAAAGTAGTTAGAGAAAAAGAAGGCCTAGAATAAAGTTTGATACCAGCCAAACAACTTGTGCAGTAGTTGTTTTACCAGTTATATGTATAGGCATACCCCACCCCTGTAGTGTTAATAGTGTAGGGACATTGAAAAAAGTAAGATACAAAGTAAGGATAGGTATGTGGAATGTTGGAACAGTAACTAGGAGAAGTAGAGAATTAGTAGCAGAGAGTAGTAGTAGAATGCTAGCAAACATCAGCGACAAAGAACCAGTTTAGTATTTTGCCTGGAAAATCAATGAGGAGCCAGTTTTTTTGAAAGACAACTAATAGAAAAGTATAAGGAAAAGAAGAGAAAGCCATGTATAGTATTTATACATTTGGAGAAAGCATATGATAAAGTACTGAGTTGTTTTAAAATGGGTATTGATGAAAAAAAGAGTTCCAAAAAAGTTCTTATTATATAATAAAACATTGAAAAATTAGCCATTGCTAGGAAAATTACTTAACATGCGATTTTCAAAATTTTTTTTTTAAATGAAAGAGCTTGACGACATTATTTTAGGAAAATTATTTATGAAGGTGAGAACATTTTTTTTAGCATTCTCTAAGTGTTTAATACTCTGTAACAAATTTTTTGCTATATATTGGGTTGGGTACTCTCATTGGAATCAGTAGTTTACCTGTAAGAACAGCCCGAAGGTCCTAACACATTGTAGGAACGTAAGGCCTGCAGGGCACCAGGTCTGAGGCGATACCCCAACTAGGCGAAGCCTAGTATTAATATAACAATGGATATATATTATGGCACTTTTACCAGGGTAAAAAGTGTGGGTGATTGACAAAAGAATAGAGCAGAAATAAGAATGATTAGGTGGGTGAGTGGAGGGACTAGAGAAGATAGGATAAAGAAAGAATATATAAAAAGGAGTGTAGGAGTATAATCGTATAATCAATTGCAGATAAGATGAAAGTAAATAGACTTATATGGTTTGGTCATATTATGAGGAGAGAAATCAGAAGTTGTAAGAAGAGTTATGCAAATAAATTTTTGTGAAAGAGAAGGTAGAGAAAAACTAAAAAAAGTTAGAGGGATGTTATTAAATGCGATATGAAAACATGTGATGAGTGCATGGATGATGTGGGAGATTGTGTCAAATTGAAGTTTAGAATAAAAGTGGTTAATTCCAAAAAGTTGGGATAAAGGTAAGAAAAAAGAGGAAGGATTGTTTTGTGAAAAGAAAAACTTATATGATTATGAAATATATTTAAGAAGTTATTATGCGATAGTAATTCTAAATAAAAGACAAACTTACATTTTACACCATCATATTGATCTAATTTCAATTGATAACTAGGCAAGAGATCTTTGAAGACCTCTAACAAGGTAAGAGTAACTAGTTTTTTTATTGTTATTTGTAATTCTGGATCACGTTTCTCCATGATTTCTAATAAATGTGTTATGTTTCCAATCTGAAAAAAAAAAACGTTATAATATATAATACAGAAATAGGAATAAAATAATTTATATTATAATATATAAATAATATTAAATTTATTACTCTTAGATCAGGATTTTCTAATAATGTACTAGCTAAAAGTCCAATTCGTTGTTTATAAATTTGTATAGTATTTTCTCTTTTAGCATATAATTTAGCAACACTTATTGGTTCTCCTTTATTGACAGTAATTTCTTTATTAGGCTCATTTTCATCTAACAAGGTATAATCACAACTATCATTTTTGTTATTTTTCTGTTTTAAAGATATTTCCAAGTCTGAAATTTCAAATTTAAATTAATTATATTATTTTTTTTTTGTTAAAAAATGTTTCTCAAGTACTTATTTTATTATATTTTATTGAGTGCAAATTACAAGTAAATAAATTTATAAAGAAAGAAAACAGGATTTATATAGAAAAAGACATTATAATTTATTGATTAAACTAAGCATTGAACTTTTTATTTTTCAAAATAAAGTTCACCAAACTTAACTTTTCATTTTCAAGGAGTTTTACAAACTTAAATTAGAAACATGATGAATCTATTTATACAACCTTAATGAATTAGGAAAATCATTAAAATCAATATAAAAAATGATACTATGTTGAGTTCTACTTATGAACAGTTTTTGTGGTCATGTCAATTATTTCTCTTTAAATTACACACATTGTTTTATAATTGTATTAACTTAAGCAATCTTTTACAAGGGGTTGACATCAATTGCTTACCAATTTTATTTTTTTCAGTTGTATACCGCTTTAATATGCCATCTTTTGTTTTAATTGGAAGTAGTGGTTTTTGAACGGCCATATAGTCTTCTTTCATTAAAATATTTAAGTTTTCGTATTTATTTTCTAATTCATCATTTTCATCAGAATTATTTCTTTTTCTTTTTTTCCTTCCATCCTAAAATTAAGTACATACAAAAAAGTAAAACATTTTTTTTACATTTTTTTTAATTAAAAATTTACATTCATTTGAATACGATTATAAAGCTTGAAATGTTGATTGCCAATATTTTTTTCCAGGAAGTCTAGATCATCCTTTTCAACCATTTGAAGCATATCATCTCCAATATCACTATTTTCTGCGTCTTCTTCAAAATCTTCACAAGAATGATCAATTTTTTGAACAGGAGGTTGGGGAATATTGAAAACTTTGGATTTATGTTTTTTAGTTTTAATATGACCTTTATTTCGCAAATGATTTCTTCTTTTAACATCACTAGTCTTGCGCCCTTTACTATTACCTTTAGTAATAGTTTTCTGTAAAACAAGTTATTTTAAATGATAGTAGGTAAAATTAGTAGATATATACTATAATTTTACATTTCAAAAGATATAATTTATGGGTGAAGATGTAAAAAATATATTCTTAAAATAAATAAACTTCAAATCAAGAATAGCAAATTCACATTAAATAATAAGAAATTCATGAATGTTTACATTTTTTTTATTTACGCACTTGGGAATGAAATAAAAATTGATTTATAAAACTTACCTTAACCATTTTTGAATGTTTACTAATTAATCAATTCTAAGATTATATTTATAAACTATAATATTATCGGTCAATAAAATTTTTTGTAATAAAAAATCATTTGATTTTTAAAATGTGTTTGTTTTTATTAGGTTTCTTACATAACCTCAATAATAATATTCATGGTAGTATTTTCTGTTATCAGTTATCAACCGCGAAAATATAAAACAAAATTTCAATTGAAGAAATAATTTTGTATTAATAGCGTAAACTAAGACGATTATCTACACATAAAATTTAAGGAAACTTAAAATTATCTACTTTATAACTATAACAATATCGTTTTACCGAATTATATACGACAATTCAGAAATTGCCGTGCGGTTATTGTTGGTTATTTATACTTCATAAAAAGACTAAATACATCACTACTATATATTTGTTAAATATAATTATTTTATTGAGACAAACAAGAAACAAGAACACATATAGGAGTGAAAAAAAAATAAACATTATCTTGTTTTTTCATTTACCATTCTGTTATCTTGGAGATATAGCATTTATTTTCCCTTTACTATAGTTAAATTATTTTTATAGAACTAGTTTATGTAAGACAATCATTGGCCTTACTTAAGTTAAGGTATGTTTTTCTAGGAGGGCCTTTGGAGGAACATATTTTTGAGTAAGTATGTAATATCACACATTTCAATTTTATTTCTAAAATAATTTAAATACTAACCAATCAAAATGTTTAATGTATAAATTTGATAATTTGAAATAGTTTTAAATATTTACCTACATTTTTTTATTAGGAATATTTTCTAGGTAAGTTTTAATTAAGAAATAATTAAAGATATTTTTTTTAATTTTAGGGTTCCTAATGTATAAATGGAAATAATATAAAATTTGTAAAAGACTAATGTAATATTATGAAATTTTACCTCATCCCAGAAAATGATTTTTTGAAATAAGAGAGTGAGTTAAAGTAAAAATAATTTATGTGATGTACAGTTTATATAGTGGAGGGGTCAGCTTATCGTTGCTATACTGGTAATCGACTGTTGTATCATCTGTATGGATGGTAATGCGAATTAGTTGACCTTCTACTGTCTTCGTTCAGACTATCCGCGATATTCATGAAGTATTAACTTGTTGTAAACGTAATATATATTTATTCATTTATTATATACTAAAAGTTGATATTCTATTACTTTATTATTAATCACCATATAGAATTATTATTATTATTACATTTAATTTTAGCTATGAATTTTATAAATAAAGAAAAATACATTTCAAATGAATAATAACATTTAAAACTTTTAAATAAAAAATTATATACTTTGTATGAGTTCTTCAAAAATTTTAGGCTTAGTCACTTCTCATTGTTTAAACATTATTAAAAAGTAAAGATATATTTAAAATATTAATTTAAAAATAAAAATATAAAAAATCTCAAAAAGCCCCAGGAAGTATTGAAAAATTACTTATTTTGGAAACAATGTTATCATTATTAGCATGAAACACATATTATAACTCTTAACTAGTTTTAGCCACTAGTGAATAATTCTTATTATATAAACATTATTAATAATAATTTATTGAGAAACAATAATACATAAATAATTATACTTATATTATTATTATACTATCAGTTAGTTTATAAAATCGTGTATTTCCATAAATAATAAACATTCATTTTAATTTCTGAAGAAAACTAATCCAGGGATGTCAGTTGGGGCGTGGCTACTTGGAGAAAACTTACCCTAGTCTAAAATTTAATGAAAACTGTTAATTGGTACTCTTGTTAACCGGGCCTTATTTTGTGCAATCCAATTTATTTTTTAAAAACTGATGTATAATAATTTAAGCAATAAATTTTTATTAAATTTAAAAGACATCTTATGTTTCATATTTAATTATATTTATGATTCTAAAAGTTCTTCCATAGAAAATTACTTATTTATGAATATTAAAATGATTTTAGAATAGTTTTGAATATTTTTTATATTAAGTGTAATTTTGTTGAGTTTTTATGAAATAAACCGCCAACAGCTTTATGAAATAATGGCCTGATCCAAATTCGTCCCATCCCTTTAAAATTTGATATGACGTTTTTGATTTAAATTCATAAAAAATGACAACAAAATAAAGTAAGATTCTTTTATTATTTATCTAGAAAAATTTTAAGTACATATAACAAACTCAATGATTAAAACTTATGTAATTATTAACAATGCTTATATATACACTTTTCAATTTTCTTAATTTATACCTTAAATTAGGTAATATATGCTTTATTCATATTTTTACTAATAAAAATAGAATTTTTAAGCGTTTAAACCGCATATTTATTAAACAGTAACAGTTAAACAGTATTCTATTAAACATACAGATGTTTAAATTTAGATAATTCCAAAATTTTATTTAACCATCTAAAAGTTTCTTAAAATAATTTACTAATTTATACATTCATTAATATATAATAAAAGTCCATTTACTGTGAAGGAACATGATTTTCCAAAAATATTTTGGGTAAATTAGGACCATAATATAATTTTGTGTTATTGCCTAATGATTCAATACGTTTCATTTCTAAAAATTCTTTGGTTAGTAAGAGTTGATTAGCTTCCGCTTCTTTCTTTTTCCTATAAAATTCAGCATCAGCACTACTTTTTTCTTTTTCCAAATGAATTGAATCTAAAAATATTAAATGACAAAAATCAAAGAAACTTTATAAGTAACAATAAATACCTTCAATTAATGATATTTGTTTAATAGATTCTTTTTCCAATATTTTTTGTTCAAATTCAATTTTTGAAACTTGAGCTTGTTTTTCTGCTTCAATAATTGCACGTTTGCGTTCAGTTTCTGCTTCTTTTTCAATAACTTTTTGATGCTGGGTTGCTATAAGCAGCTTAGTTTTTTCTGCTTCCCTAATTAACAAATAGATCAAATAAATTAGAGGTTTAACTAACAAAGTTATGATTTTGATTGAGTCAATACATTATTTCATAATTTTTGCGAATAGTTTCTGGTATTTTAGGTTTAGTGACACGAACAGAATGTACTTTAAGGCCAGGTGCCATTTCTGTTAAATCTTTTTGTAAGGCAACTTTAAGGTTTTCATCAATTTGATCAAACAAATCTATGTAAACCTGCAAAATATTAAATGTATTAAAAATGATAATCATTAACAATAACTTGCTAAAAACTTGATATATACCTCATGCAAATTATGGACACTACAGAATTGATTAAGCTCATGATGCACTTTATTAAATATTAATGTTTTGTCATAATCAGCAGTATAATTTTTAACAATATCATAAACTGTAATTAATTAAAATTAAATTGGTTACAAAAAAAAGTTATAATAAAATGTTGAGTTTTTAAATTTACTAAGAACACTTAAGTACAACTATAAAAATCAATTTCCAAAATTATTTAAGTTGTATTTTTTAGTAAGCAATAATGTTTATAACTTTTATAAATTATCTTATTATTTAATGATAAATATATTGTATCATTAAAATTTTAACTATAATTTATCGTATAGTTCTATATAATAGACAGAGAAATTATAATTTTTTTTTTTATTATTAATTTTGAAAGATATTTTTTATTCTAATTTTAATAATTACCACTATCAACATTAAGAATATTGACAACTTCAATTCTGTCAAAATATATCATAACTCCACCACTTGTACCACAAGGAACATTTTTTACTTCATCCGTTTGAAGTGTTACCTATGATAATAATAAACAAATAATTAAATTTGTATTTTAATTAATTAAAGTTGTATGCATTAAAATACATACTTGAACAGATCTAAAAGTTGTAAGAAAAGGCATCATAATATGGTAGCCAGGATGACTTATTTGGGATAATAATGCACCACCCTGAAATATAAATATATATATAATGATGAAATTAATTTTTGATAAAATTTACCCTGTAATAAACAGCAACATGTCCTTCGTCAACTTTATGAATACAAAAATGAGTTAAAATAGCCGTGACTAACAGTATTAAAGGAAATGCATGAGATAAATCAGCCATTCTCTAAATATGTAAATAATCAGGTAATATTAATTCAATGTAATAATTATCTGTTGAACAAGACTAAATAATTTTACTAAACATACTTACATAATAAAAAAAAGGAAGAGTAGTTTAATTAATTAATAAATCATATTTAGATTAAAGAGTTTATGTAAAATATTAAGTTTTTGTTACTGTATGAAACCAGTGAAAAAGTAATGAAAACTCAATACTGATATTACAGTACTGAGAGTAGATATTCATATACTATAATACTATACTATGTATAGTATAGTATTAAGAGTATATATTGAAGTAAGTTTTAATATAATTTTGAAAATTGTAGAATGTAATCAAAGTTGCTGACGTTTATACTATCAGTAATTTGAATATTATGATTGTTTTTATATTGATAACATTAAAACTGCTTCTACCTTCAATACTTAAATGTTCACCTCGTGGTTACTCTTCTACCAATTTCGGGATATGAATAAATAAATTGTATTACAACATGTTGAACGTTTAAAAAGATTAAATATTATTGTGACTGTATTTATAATTTTATTTATTTATTTTTATTGTATTATTCAACTGAAGCAATTTACAATCTCCCAAAGTTTTGCTGTTTAATTTCATTAGTTTTTAACTGCTTCGCAATGAAGGAGATTGTTGTTGGTTTCTCACACTCTGGTAAATATTATGCTGAAGTCAACCTCAATGGTAAGTTAAATGTGTGGGACACTAATGCAGGTGATTTGCGACATGAGTATTCTCCAAGTAGTCATTTAAATACAGCTATCTCGTGTGTTAAATGGATCCAATTTGAAAATACAGATGTTTTGTGTATTGGCACTCAAAAAGGTCTTATTGAATTTTTTAATGTTGTCAGTGGAAGCATTATGTCCAAAATTAATTCACGTTCAAAGAGTATTAAAAGTTTTCATTGGATAGGGCAGTATTTGTATGTAGGTACTGATGATGGTACTGTCAGTAAATACAATTTAAAAACCAACACCGTTGAAACAAAAAAAATATTAAGTAGGATGTCAACTATAGCTATAACAACTAGTAGTAAAGTATTGACAGCTTCTAGAGAAATAAAATTATGGAATTATCCATCTGGTGAACTAGTTCATAAATTTATCGGCCATAAAAATGAAATATTTTTACTACATATAATAGAGGCTGATAAATGTTATCTTTTGAGTTCTGCCAGAGATCGATTTATTAACATTTGGTCTTTAAGTGATCTTAAATCAGAACCTCTAGCTACTTTAATTGCTGAAGATAATATTTCTTCTGTATATGTTTATAGTAATAGAAATAATATTACAGTGACTGTAACTACAGAAAGTGGTTCACTACATGTATATCAACATGTGTTGAATGGTTGTGTATCATATCCTTTGAAACCTCAAGGGACTCTACAGATAGCGGCTGATTGTTCTAAAGATGAAGAAGCTAAACAAATGCCTATTGTATGTACAAAAATTTGTGAATCTAGAGTGTTTATAGCTTATGGCACAAGGCCATTTTTAGCATTCGAAAATATTGATTTAAATAAATTAAACAAATGTACATATTTAGCAAGACAAGATCCACGAAAGTCAAAAACTTTAATAGGTGCTCATATTATTCACCCTAATCTTACAGAAGTAAAGTTTGTGGAACAGAAGAAAAATAGATCATCAAATTTACCTTTAGAAACAAGACTTCAAAATATGTCTGAAGAAATTAAAAATACTGTCCAAACTAAAGGAGAAAGCTTGGTTCATTTATTAGTGCAAGGTTTACGTAGTAATGATAAAAACCTTTTAGAATCTGCCTTATTTGTTAAAGATGAACGAACAATTAATAACACAGTGTCTTGCTTACCATTGCAGTCTGTTATAATGCTTGTAAAAAAGTTGATACGTCTGTCACAGGATAGAACATTGATAAGTTCTGTTAGTGTACTGTGGTTAACAGCTATTCTACGTATACATGCCAGTCTGCTATTAGCAAATCCAGATGTTTTAGAAACATTTTTACCATTAGAAAATGTCCTAGGTACAAGATTGAGTAATTTTGAAGAACTAGGTTTGTTAGATTTCAAGTTAAAAGCATTACTTGACAGATTAAGTTTTGACAACAGAGATAAAGATGAAGAACAAGAAGCATTATTGGTATATAATGACTCAGATGATGGTGATAAAAGGACAACTGATGAAGAAGATGCCATGGACCAAGATATAAATGGTGATGAGGATTTTGATTCTTCAGACTTCAATGATGAAGAAATTGATGGAGATTAGTACATAGAAATAACAAATGATTTAATAACTTTGTCGAGCTTAAAATCATTTGTCAAGTATGTAAACTTCAGACAGTTCTTGATGCATACTATTTTCTTTACAAAATGTAAATTTTTTGTAAAAATATTTTTAAATTTATTCATTTTTAAAGATTTATAAGTTATTATTTATAAGTCCAATTTGTTCATTGTATTTACTAAATACATTTACCTAAATATTAATATGATTGTATTTTTGTTGTAATTTGTCAAAGTATTAAGTTTTAATACTGCCAGTTAATACAAAATAAAACTAGTGAAATGTTATGATAAAAATATTAATTTTTTTCTGTAAGATTGATTATTTCAGATGTATTGATATAATTGTATTAAAACATCTTATGGAATTAGTGGAACAATTAAGAAGGGTAACTTATGTAAAGTTGTATAAAAATATGCTATTATCAAGAAAATGCATAGATTGAGAGTAGAATTTTAAAAATAAAAAGATTATTAACGTTTGTGTTGATGTGCACTCATTAATATAATGTCCAATGCAAATACTCTAGTTACTACACATTTAATTTAGCTCTGATTGTATGTAGATGTAAGAAATCACAAATAGGAGCTGATTGAGTTAAAATATATATTTTATATTTTATACTATTATACAATTCAATCAAGCTTCAATATAGAGCTAAATTAGAATTGAGTGTTTTTCATCATTCTTCTTAATTTACAATAATTATTTAGTAGCTTTGTATAAGGAACATTAAAAATTAATGTATTAGTATTAAATATTTTTTAATTATAAGTTTTACCCTTATAATATAAATACATTTTTTGATAGTAGTGTATTAACAATGGGATTAAAAGCATTAATATGAATGCTATAAATGCTTAATATAAAATAATTAGTCCATCTTACTAAATTTTACTATAATTTCATCAAATTGATAACTAATTTTACATCTTGTTTTAGGTTTGTGTTTATTTTGACTTATTTAATAGTTTTTGTTTTATTTAATTTTTAATCAGTAACATGATGGTGTATTACCAAAACTAGTAGTTACAATTTATTTTTAAATTCTACTCTAGTTTAGTTTATTATTATTAAAATAAATGAATTGTTTACAAATATAAGTAATCAACCAACTAAGTCAAAAACCATGAATTTTTTATTCATAAAATATATTCTACGTTATTTTTATTAATGAGTATTGACTATATAGATTTTTTAAAGGAGGCTCGAAATACCCAAGATATAAATAAATCTCTTCACTAAAATTTTCACACAACTATTTTCATTAAACGTATTCGCATCGAAGTGTTTTGATAGTGATGTTAATTTTTTTAGATTTCAGTCAATGTTGGTGTCTACTATGCTGGCTTAAGCGTTCTCATGGGGTTATGGGGATAAAACCATCCTATGACAAAAATAATTATATGGCAGATTTATTTTGGAGGGGGTAGTAAAAAAAATTCTTATGTTTATCTCTTCCCTAAGTCAAAACCCTGAGAACGCCACTATATGTCGGATTCTGACTGTACTGGTTTTTTTTTTAATTGTTATTGTCAGTGCTCTGAACTTTAAACAAATGCATATTTGTTAGGTAATCGTATATTAATATTCTGGTTCTATATAAATTTGTTTCATAATACCCTTATTTCACAATTTGTTTTGGATATTTCATCATTTTTTTACCAAAATTGCATATTTTCGGACATCTTTTTTTTCTCCGCCTTAATCCTAACTACATGGGGTTGGCTAGGATATTTTAGAACATATTTGTACATTAGGGTGGAACGAAATATTAAAAATGTTGATAGTTGAATTCTAATAGGAAAAAAAGTTACAGTTTAGTCTCATGATTATAAGGGAAAAAATTTTTTTTTAAATATCTTCAGGTGCCGCAAGAGGGTTGAAAATTTGACTGTGAGGGTAGTTTTTTGTTTTTTTTACTTGTCTTTTAATCTATACTATTCACAGGAAAAAATATAGAACTAAATATTCACCATAAAAAATGTTATTAGCAAAAAAGCCGTATCCATAATACTTAGTCATTAAAATTAAAAAAAAACAATATATTTTTATCTTTATCGTTGAAATCACCTTTATTAGTTTATTTAAATATTGCAGACAAAATATTCAATATACAGAAAAAATGATTGTTTAAAAATTGTTTAGAATTTAATTGTTTATTATTTGTGTTGTGTGTATCATTTATTTTACCAAACGTAGTTGCTATAATCGAGTATTAGTTTCCAAAAAAAGTCTTTTTCTCTACAACTTAATATAAAAGTGTTAATATATTTAAAAATTTGGTTCAAAATTAGTTATCAACTGAACATTTTTTTATTTAGATTGTCCTCTATAAAAATTAGATTTTTAGGAATATTAATAGTTAGTAGAGTGGAACGAAAAAATCAAATTTATTTTGCTAATTCTAATATTATTAGAAATTTGTGGTCCATATTCAAATATGTAAATAAAAAATCATTATTTTAAAATTATTACAAATTTTTACAATATTTACGAAAAAACATTACTTAAGAGTTGTAAATATTTTTTGGTTTATAATAAATAATTAATAAATAATAAATATTTTTTGAAATTAAAATGAGGCAAAATCCTACGGGACTCAATCTTAGGCCTTATTATACCATCCTTTCTAGCTTGTTCGCATACAGCTGCTGATACTTCTGTTACTAATTTTACGCTTCTTTCGACAACTAGTATGACAATGTAAATAAAAAATGTCTAAGATTTTCTTTTTATGACTTAATACAATCTAAAATATAATTAAAATTTAAATTATTATAAAAATTAAGGGAATCACAAAATTATACCTGTCTTAATGTGTCTTGATCAATGTTCACAATCAAGTCACTAAAGCTACACTTACATCTAAGTGTAGCTTTAGTGACTTGATTTTTTCTACACTCAATTAGTTCAACGTAGTCTTCAGCATTAAAATTTAACGGTGAGATTTCAAAAAAGCGTATCAGTTGATTATTTTTATTCTGCCCAGAATTAATAATTTTGGACAAAGCTATTTTTCTGATGGCGTAACGATTATCGAGTAACTTACCGAGTATATTTTCGGGCGAGTCAAAATACGCATTTCGTTGAATAACAGGGTCAATTATTTTTAATAAGTTATTAGGTAGATACCGTGAACATTTTATGGTTCTCCAAAGATATTTTGATCCAGATGTACAAAATGGATTAATTTTTATATGAAATCACACAGACCACTAAATTCAGTGATGGTAACTGCGCCATCACTATCAATCGCAATAATTTCTGAAGTATTTAAATCATTTGTTTCCAAAAAATTAATAATAATATTTTTAATTTCTAAAGTAGATCCGCTTTTTGGTGTTGTACGACCAATGTATTTCGATCCTTGTTCTTGAATAAGTGATATATGTTCTTCAATGATAATTTTTGTATAATATTTACGTTTTTATTCTCTTGCTTTTCGGACTTTCATCCTATCTACAACACTGTGTTTATTATCAAAGTAGAACAAAAAATAGGAGTTAATTTTGCTTTAGGAATAATCCACTAATTACTTAAAATTAAACACTACAGATTTGCATTGAAATGTTTTTTAGATAGTGATTTTAACTTAGTCAGATACTACCTATACTTGTCCCAACTGTGATGCGACACCACTGTGTTACCTTTTATTTTTAATATTAAATTTTGTAAAATAAATATATTGTTAAAAAATTGATTTTTGTATAATTTTGTATATTTTATCATTTTTTAGCACTTTTTTAGTATATTGTAGCATTGTGAGTTTTTGCTGATGATATGATGATAGTATAACTCCGAGTTCTTTTGATGTATTAATAAATAATAGAAACTCACTAGAAATCCAGTCATAGTATCAACTAAAAGTATGTTGCAACACACCTAATCCTATTTTACTAAACTTATGTAAAAACAACTTTTGCTTATTTCATTAAAGATTTTTTTGAACAGATGGTCAATCCATGCCAAATGATCCAGAAGTGGTTGCACGACCACCTCATATTTTGCTGAAATTTTCAGGGTTTATTCTACGTGTATTCTAAGTGCAATATCTCAGTTGGGGGACCTAATTTCCAAAAATTTTTTTTAAGCTTTGTAGATATATATCTGCTTTATACACCATAAAAATTTGAAATATGAGAAAAATGCGTAACATGTAAAATTTAGCATTGGAAAATCAGTAAAAATCAAATAATTTAATGACAGTTTTTTGTTGTTTTCAAACCACATTTTTGTAATTTTTTTATACATCATTGTATATGTAATATATTATAATTCAATATAATTATTAGACACGTTATAAATATAAAATTCATTATTTTAGTTGGAAAATAAAAAATATATAAATAAAATTATTATGATAATATTGTAAAATATTTTAATAAATATTCATAGTTTTTCTAGTAGTTAGAATATTGTGTCTTCATAAATATCAGTTAATGATACCTTAAGACTTCTTATGGTATTGTTATTAATTGATAAAAATCTGTGATTTTCCCTATTTCCGGGAATACTACTTTTACACAAATTAAATCCCATATTAGGTGTTTTGTTGTACTTCTGAGGTGGGTATATTAATGTATTTTATCTCTTTAATTTTGATACATTTTGTTACTTTTTTTTTTTGCTGTTCCACCAACTCCATCGATGGCCTATTTTGCCATGACACAAAACAAATAAATGCCATTCTAAGTTTAGAATTTCACATTAATTTTTTTTTTTTTAATGTAATCTTTAAGTTATAATAGGGTCAAATTTAAAATTTTAATTCGATTGAGTTGAAATTGAATAATCTGTGTGTTTTTTAACGATCTACCTATTTTTACCTAAACATTGTAATTATGTATTATTTAGTTATCATGAAGTATTATATAATTTATGCAATATTATGTCCCTCAATTTTAGTAATCCATTTTTTGGTTCGCCTTATTATTAGCTTCGATGCGAAGCTGAGAAGGTATTGGTTTTACTATGATGTGTTTTTTTTTAGCTTCGATGCGAAGTTGAGAAGGTATTGGTTTTACTATGATGTGTTTTTTTTTTTTTTTTTTGTCTGTTACCACTTTTTCTCAGCTCTCACCGAACCGATTTCTTTCAACGATACGTCAAAAGATCACAAATCGTATCTAGTCGAAGACATTACCCTTAAAAATTGAAAAAATTTCCCTCGTTCCCCGTAAATGGGGGAAACCTCCAAAAAAATTACAAATTTAAAAATCGCTAATTTTCGAAATTTTTTCAATTTTTTTTACTAAAAACTGCCATAACTTTTTCAAAAATGAACATATCAATATAATTTTTTTTTTATAGATGCTTGATGTCTTCACTTATCATTTGATATATTTTTTTGTAAATTTGACCCTTTATCTGGTCACAGGGGGGGATTTAAAAAGACAACTTTTTCACAAAAAATTAACTTTTGAAAATGTTCCGGAAGGTCGGAAAGTTTCGTACAAAAGTTGTTTAAAAGACAATTATAAACAAAAAAATTATTTTATATTTTTTCATTTAAACAAACATTTTTCGAGTTACATTACATTTAATATTAAATATATCAGCTAAAAATATTAACTGGATCAAAAGTTATTTAAGTTGTCAGTGAGTGGTGGGCCACTCTGTATATAAAAGTGTCAGACCTTCCGGAACATTTTCAAAAGTTAAATTGAAAAAGTTGTCTTTTTAAATCCCCCCTATGGCCAGATAAAGGGTCAAATTTACAAAAAAAATATATCAAATGATAAGTAAAGACATCAAGCATCTATAAAACAAAAATTATATTAATATGTTCATTTTTGAAAAAGTTACGGCAGTTTTTAGTAAAAAAAATTTCGAAAATTTCGAAAATTAGCGATTTTTAAATTTGTAATTTTTTTGGAGGTTTCCCCCATTTACGGGGAACTAAGGAAATTTTTTCAATTTTTAAGGGTAATGTCTTCGACTAGATACGATTTGTGATCTTTTGACGTATCGTTGAAAGAAATCCGTTCGGTGAGAGCTGAGAAAAAGTGGTAACAGACACAAAAAAAAAAAACACATCATAGTAAAACCAATACCTTCTCAGCTTCGCATCGAAGCTAATAATAAGGCGAACCAAAAAATGGATTATTAAAATTGAGGGACATAATATTGCATAAACTATATAATACTTCATGATAACTAAATAATACATAATTACAATGTTTAGGTAAAAATAGGTAGATCGTTAAAAAACACACAGATTATTCAATTTCAACTCAATCGAATTAAAATTTTAAATTTGACCCTATTATAACTTAAAGATTACATAAAAAAAAAAAAATTATGGTGAAATTCTAAACTTAGAATGGCATTTATTTGTTTTTTGTCATAACAAAATAGGCTAGCGATGGAGTTGGTGGAACAGCAAAAAAAAAAAGTAAAATATCTAACATTTAATATACAAAAAAATTATATTGATATGTTGATTTTTGAAAATGTTATGGAAGTTTAAAGAAAAAAAAGTGAAAAAAATGACAAAATATACAAATTTAAAAAAAATTTTTGGAGGTTTCCCCCATTTACGGGGAAGTAAGGAAATTTTTTCAATTTTTAAGGGTAATGTCTTCGACTAGATACGATTTTTGAGCTTTTGACATATCGTTAAATTGAAAAAGTTAATTTTTTGTGAAAAAGTTGTCTTTTTAAATCCCCCCCTGTGACCAGATAAAGGGTCAAATTTACAAAAAAATATATCAAATGATAAGTGAAGACATCCAGCATCTATAAAAAAAAAATTATATTGATATGTTCATTTTTGAAAAAGTTATGGCAGTTTTTAGTAAAAAAAATTGAAAAAATTTCGAAAATTAGCGATTTTTAAATTTGTAATTTTTTTGGAGGTTTCCCCCATTTACGGGGAACTAAGGAAATTTTTTCAATTTTTAAGGGTAATGTCTTCGACTAGATACGATTTGTGATCTTTTGACGTATCGTTGAAAGAAATCCGTTCGGTGAGAGCTGAGAAAAAGTGGTAACAGACACAAAAAAAAAAAAAAAACATCATAGTAAAACCAATACCTTCTCAACTTCGCATCGAAGCTAAAAAAAAACACATCATAGTAAAACCAATACCTTCTCAGCTTCGCATCGAAGCTAATAATAAGGCGAACCAAAAAATGGATTACTAAAATTGAGGGACATAATATTGCATAAATTATATAATACTTCATGATAACTAAATAATACATAATTACAATGTTTTGAGAGTTGATCATCGGACTTTATTAAAATTTAATTAATCTAAATAATACCTCTGTTTTTTTAACAAAATATAACTTAATAATTCTATACATTACCTTATATCTATATGAAAATCTTAAATTTAGTGTTTGGTGTATAAGATTTAATAGGAGTGCAATTTATAATCTATTCAATATACATGACATTTAAATATATTATAAAAAACAAGACAGTTTAAGAATTTTTTTTACAGCAACAAAGCTTAAATCAAACCAAAAAAATAGCTAACCAGTAATACACGTACTCCACAAAAATATTTTACAATTTACATTATGACATAAAAACAATACATATTTTTAGAACTCAAATTTGTAGGAAGAAGAAATAGTTAATACTCATGTTAGTAGATAGTAATGTACTAGAATAAATCAAGTGAAAAATATATAATTATTATAATTATTGAAAAAGTTGTTAACAATAATAATTTATTGTATTAATCAAATAAGGCAGCAAGATAAACCTGATGTTAATAATATTCGTTTTGTTAATTAATTGATAATAACAAAATTTGGATTGTTAAACTTTGAAAAAAGAATAAAAACATCCAATAATTATTATAATTTAATACAGATGCGGTTTTACTTTACGTTAACGTGAAGGGCGGTTTAGTAATATGTACAAATATAAATACATTATTAAATATATAATATAATTTATTTAAATTTAACGATGAGAGCGTTCTCGACCGCACCCCCTGAATCTTCATCTAATATAATTTTACCTGTAAATATTATACATATACTGGAAGTTTTTAACGCATACAATGTAAGGGAAAATTTTGAAAAAAGGTGATAAAAATTTTATATTTGAGTATGAGTTAAAAAATGTTTACATTATGTTAAAATTTTATTATTTGTGTGTAATATTAACGTGTATATTAAAAATGTCAAATTGACGTATGTCAATTTTTGCATTAAATAATTTAAAACTATCGTGGTTTTTAATCGTTCAAATGTTTTACTATTACAATTATATTTTTACTATTTTTAGAGACTATATAGTTTTTGATTATGCAGACAGAATAAAAATTGAAATCTTAAAATCGTAAAAAAAAATCCGTATTGTAGTATTAATATTAGTGAATTTTAATTGAGCAGCAAAAAATGATTATCGGTAGAATCCAAAAACCATTTAATTTACTTTTAGAAACCACTGAGCATGTGTTCACCTTGTCACTTTGTTTTATAAATAGTGTATTTTTATATACTTTTAAAATAAATTAGGGCAGTTTCTGAAATAAATTGAAAAAGAAAAAAGTCTACTTGACAATTATTTTATTTGCTTAACCCAGAATTTAATTCATTTGAAATAAACCTTAATATTTATGTATGTATAGTATTTATAAAATTGAAAGATATAGAGTACATTACAAATTTTTTTTAAAATAATGTTCTGTGTAATTGTTTAAAAAATATGAGCAATTATTGTTTTCCTAATTGATTTTCTCTTTGAATTCTCTTTGAAATTGATTTTTTTTTTTAATAATTACTTCTTGGATTATGTTTAAAGCATATATTTAAAATGTTTAATAATACTTACTAACATGAAAATAATATATATATATATATATATTATTTTTCAAAATGTTAAAATAGCCATTATTTTGATATTTTTTTTTTTACAAANAATGTTAAAATAGCCATTATTTTGATATTTTTTTTTTTTACAAAAAATTGAGTTGTTGATTAGTCAATAACAATTTTAAAATAAGTATTCATTGAGTTACTAGAATTTTAATACATAATGTGGTTATAGAGCGCCGTTGCATACATGTGACGTACATCAATACAAGATGCACCACCCTCATATTATACTACTGTATAACTAGTGTACATAAACTCTATCTGTGAATATCAATATCCTTTCTTACATATCTCTATCGATACCCACTTTATGTATTAAAATGTTTGCAACTCATTGAATATTTGTTCTAAAATTTTTTGTAAGGAAAGAACTAGAAATAATTATTTTAAAATTAAAAGAATAATTTAAAATAAAATTTTCATTTTTATTTTTTTTTTATTAGTAATAATTAATAAAAATATGCTTTGAACGTAGTATAAGTCGTCAATAATTAATTTTGAAAATATTTCAACAAAATTATAATTGTATCAAAAGGTATAAGCATTTTTAGTTAGTCTGAATTACTCTGTATATTATATTCTTTGTGGTTCTAAAAGTTCTGTCGTGATAATTTTTACATTAAATGTTATAGGGTTGGATTGTTAGGAAATAATTCGTGAGTAAAGCGAACATCATTGTGAAATGATTGGTTGGTCAATAATTTGCCCCATCCAAGTAAAATCTAAAAGTTCACCTCTGAATTAATCTGTGTTAAAATACATTAGATAAATCTCTTCTTCAAATAATTTTTCTAGATCCATTCTTGAGGCTATGTTTGAAAATGATCAGACTTTAAGTTTACCCATGTTATGAAAAAACTAAAATGATGCTTCTGGTTAGTTTCATGTAAAGATCAAGGCAATTCATTCACTCAAATTTATAATTATACGTAGTAGTACGTACATAAAATATGTTCTAATATTCATATTAATATAAATTTAAATATTGGTAATGTAAACTAAGTAGAAGTACCCGTATATTTACATTTTATGTATTATTTTTTATAAACATTTTATGAATTGTGTTGTGTGAGTAATTTTTATAATAATTGAAGTGGGAAATACAAGTTCACTAAGATACATACTAAGAATGTATCTTCATAGATAAGATATGAATCAGGTTATTAAAATGAAAAGTTCAATTTCTTTCTTTTTATTAATTCAAGGTGTTTTTTTGTTTAGGAATTTACATCATTCACTTAAAAGTTAAGATAAAATTTTCAACAATATTTTTATAAAATTTTCAGATTGTAAATAATTAAAAAAAACTTCTATAAATTATTAATAAAAATATATATAATTTTTCTTATTAATATTATATTATTGCACACTAAAATGTCTTTTTTTGTTTCTATTCTGAAATAATAATATAGTATTATTATAATCAAATTTTTATCATGTTATGTTGATCCATCGGTCTATACTACACTCCAAAGCTGCAATCCACCTGGAATCAAATTAATTTTTTGTACGTTGGTGTGAATTTAGATACAGTGGTGTAAAAATAGGAGCATGGGGGCATGTTTTTAACGAGGAAGAAGGTATTCTTCCTTTTATTTTAGATAAATAATAAGCAAAAAAAAACACATAAGTAATATTTATGACAGTTTTCCATTGAATATTTTGTTCTTGACCTTATCCTTATTATGAATTTTTACATGTTTACATAATGGCTATTTATGAATTAAAAAATAGATGATTCAGTTACGAGCTTGAGTCAATTGGTGTTAATATTATTGGATGGGATACAAATTTCGTAGTTAACATTTTTGTACTGTTTAAATAAGAATAACGTCCAACCTCGGTAGAATTATTAATTTACAAAGGCACCATGACATTCTTTATTAATAAAATAAACACTTAGACTTAAATACTTATAAATTGTACATTATCAGTTCGAGCAAATTTGTATGCATTTCAACAGATCCCCGTAGAAAAGTTGTACCTACATCACTAAAATTTTTATAGTATAGTAACTAATAGGAATTACCTTCTTTTATCTATTTCAGTATCAGTAAAAAAATAGAAATATCTGAATGATAAGTCTTGCGGTATAAGTTCAAATGCAAATCTTTTTATATTGGTATTAATAGAGCTTTGCACTTTATAGCCATGAAGACATGCCATTCCTGTAAGTTGATGCGTTTACGTAAATTTTAGTCACATAGTTTTTTGATAAAGGGTATAACTTAATTAAGTAAATATTACCATTTGCAAAACGAGCGGCACTGTCAACAAAAAAATATAATCTTGCATCTTTTAATACACAATAATATTTTTTCCATGATTTGCCACAATGATGAACTAAAGTCGAGAGGAAACCCTGACAATCCGATTGTGTGTTAATATTTATTATAGTTTGTAAGTTATCTTCGTTAAGCCATTCTAGAGACTAAAATTAGTTGAAAAAAGAAAATAAATGTAATATTTTTACTAAAAGTAAATTTTTTTTTAAAAAAGAAACTAACAGGGCTTTTAATAGCCTCGTTTAGAGCTTTAAACCAACGATCAGCGTTTTCGGGGCTATCTGCTGCTATATGAAGTCTGGTTTTTTTGTAATTTCTTTTTTCTAATCGAAAGCTGTATAATCTTCCTGTATCCGAAGTTTGTATTATGGTAAATCCTTTCAAATTTAAAACTCCCAAAGGGTGTCGGTCCTAAAATATACGAATTTTTCATTTACAATAATGATTATTTAAATGTTTAAATTTTATTTTAAATAGAGCAGTATCAATTTTTTTTCTAATGTACAATTAATATCGTTCATGATAATTTTGATTCAGATGATACTTAGTCCTAAATTTAAATGAGACATTACTTTTTTAAGTGATGCTGATTTATAGTAGTACAGGCAGTTGTCTGTTTTTAGACAAAAATATCTTGGTTGCCAGCAATTTTTCATTTTTTTTGTACCAATGCTGAATTTCCATAATACACTAGATATAACAATGTGGCTTTTTAATTTTGAAAGATCAACTTTGGGCATGAGAACATCACAAGTTCTTGCTACTTCTAATTCCAAAATATCTGAACCACTGTGTGCTACACTAACAAATTCGGAGTGCGAAGCGTCCAACACACATATATTGTTGATACTTATGATTATGTCACCCACTTGTAGACCAGAATTTTCAGCTGCTGTACCTGATTCAATAGCTGATACTACAACAGGCTTAGCTCCATGTATGCGAAAACCAAATCCTCCAGATTCACGTTTTACTATAAGCCTTTTATCGCTGTCTGTTGTGAAAATTAGCGTAATTTAGGTATAAAATAGTTTGATAAAATATTAGATTTACATATTTAAAAAATAAAATATACCAAATGATTTTGAAGATAACCTTTTAAACATTTCCAAACTTGATTTTCTATGCACTATTCGATGAGTTATTGTTTGATATTTTACCCTAAATTCATGTTCGGAACACGTTGATTCTAATGAATCTCTTCTTTTTAATTCCGGTTCGTATTGATTATCTGAATTAAATAAATTATACGGTAGTTTAAAATAATAATAAATAATTAGTTTAGTTTTATAACTTAGATTAGCACCTAATGTATTTTGATGTAAACTTTATTGGATAAGTCTATTTTATAGACCCTAGCGTCTATGAAATTCAATATTTATCTATAAAACTTTTATAAGTTGTCTTAACCATTTTCGAATTTTACGAATGTGTCGTTTACATTTGAAGTTAGTTTTTATGTTAATTAGTTAAGTTTTTATTTTAAAACTTTGGTTTTGATTATGGAAATTAAGATTTCACTTAGCTATCACTTTTAGAAAAAAAAAAATCTTTTGACTTTAATATAATAAAATATCTGAAAAATATACTTTCGAGTAAGACAATACAAAGTTTTGGAATAAATTTAAGCACTTTTAAATTGATAAAATTGTGTAAAACTCGATCTAATAAATATGAAGTCACCAAGAAAATTTTATAAGATTAAAAAAATTAAAAGACAAATTTGAAAATGAATGACAAACATTTTTAACCTTTCCGTCAAAAAACTTTATAATCACAAAATAGTTTAGTAATGCTATTAGTTACATTATAATTTTATAATTTTCTCAAATTGTACAAATTATCCATGAAAGATGAATATAAATTAAATTTTCATGTGTAACTTAATATAAAAGTTATTAATTTTCTTAGATTTTTTGATATTAAAATATAAAAATAAATTGAGGAAATTATAAGTTAGAGAAAATGTCATAATTTTAATTAATAAACAAAAATTCAAGTTTTTTTTACCTGGTAAATCTATTGGCCTTTTCCAAACATAATATTCTTCTAGTTCATCGATATGTGCCCAAGAAAATGATGTAAAAGGTGTCGTATAAACCCCAGACCAGTCGTCATCGTCCGAGTGAAGACTTGAGCTACTCCCGTTTAATCTTTCCATACTCACATTAGTTGATCTAACCGTTGGTCTGTCGATAAGATAATATAGAATATTTTATTATAAATTATTTATATTACTACAGAATATAATGAAAATAATTGTAAAAATATCGGTAAAATAATTACAAAGTATATGACACATTTACTGTTATAAGAACAATATTTGATAAAGATTTTCTTTTTATCATAAAATGCTCCAATACGAATTTTTAAGAAGGAAATTTTTTTATTTTTAATACATTAAATAAAGCACTAACAAACTAAGAATTGCATTTTAAAGATAGTTAAAAAAAAACAATGAACTTAATGTCTACTATCTTTTGGTTATAATTATGCTGACAAATAGAAATATACAAGAATTAAAATTCGAGGGCTGTTTACTAGCCAATAATATGATTTTCAAAATTTTTTCTATTTATATTCTTGATTTATATATATCAATATGCCATATTAGTTCGGTATAATAGTGTTAAGAACATATCGCTTTTTTCAATAAAAAGAACTGTAATTAACATTTTTACAATTGTTCCACAGATCCATTTAAATGTTTAAATGACGTATCTATTCTGTATACCTTTTTATATTGTATTATGATTTGAGACCTAATTGATAAAAAACATACTGTTGTCTTACATGAATATAAAATACATGTCTATGCTAGAATACGTGATAAATGAAAAATATCTATTTACGGCTCATTTCGCTGTAGGTGGTTGTTTAACCATAAAAATTTTAATTTCTGCATTTAAATATTAATTTAAAACACAATAAACAAATATTTTTGTAAATATAACCTTTTATTATAAAAATTACCTTCTACACTCTTTGTAACTCTTCACTCTTTCTTCTGATTTAGCTCTAATTTGTTCTGGACGACTACTTCTTTTTCTTTGTTCTGATCGGTGACGTTTATTTAACCGTATTATTGACGTAACAGGGGGCTCGTCAGGAGAATCTTCAAAACCTTCAGGTGGCTTAAAAATTTCTACAATTTCATTATTTGAATTTTTGTTATATTCTGTGTCTACTTCAATGTTGCATCTAAGATATCTAGGTGTTATAGATACTCGATTACTTGGATCGCTGTAAAAAACTGAATCGCTTCCTGGACTAATTGATCGTAATGACTCAGCACTTACAGCTTTTAAATTTGAATTATCTTTGTGGTTCATTTGTAAAAAACACCTAAAACTTTCTCTAGTTTTAGATTTTCTTGCTAAAGTTGCATTTGTAAACTTTTGATTAATATCGGGTAGAGATTCTCTTCTTTTATCTATATTTTCTATTACTATTTTTTTTTCGATTGAGCTAAAAAAAAAATTGGCAGTAGAATGACAAGTTTTGTAGAAATAAAATTTTTTTTATAGAAAATATACTTTGTTTGAGCTATTGATCCTACACTTTTTCTTCTTAAGCTGGGTCTTCGACTCTCTAGTCCTATGAATGATTCATCCGAAGAATCTAGTACTGATGCTCTTATGTTACTTATTAATTTCTAAATAGTAAGAAATAATTACTTTAATTATAGCTTAGTAATAATGATTTAAATAATAAGTACCTTCATGCCATTGATATTTTTTGTGTCTATTGATCCTTTAAATGTACGATACCATAAATTAAGATAAATAAAACAAATTTATATTAATAAGCATAAACTATGGATCAAATATTACCAATAAAATCATTATTTTTAACTTACTCTTTATATCCGAATTCACTAATTTGATCTTTGGAATCGATCTATAAAACAAGTAATTTTAAAATGCATAAAATATGACATTTAAGGTTACATATTTTTAATATAAGATTCAAGCAAAAAATATTAGTACATACTAAATTGTCGTCAAAAAGTTTAAAAAGCAAAAATTGTATTGTTTCAATAAAGCATATATTTTGTTTTTTTTTTTAACTATGAACATGCGTTTTCATGCTTATTATTTATATTTTAATTTAAATGATTATTCAACCTTTGATTAACCTATGTTATACACTATGCTGTACGAAACCTGCATCAAATGTACCTATATAAGCGCTATCTATATATTTTTTTATTAGTTTTGTGCGTTATAACCTATCATTGTTAATTGCTCACTTAGCGAATTTTAAGATGGATTTTGGTTTCATTTCTATGTTCTCGTCTGATGACGTAGAGCTCTTTTTATTCTCAATACTGCATTTTACACTGTAACTGAAATTGTACTTGTTTATTTTAACTGTCGATTTATGATCCTAATTATGTACATTTTCCTAAATCCATAATTTTTAAAGCTGCAGAGTACTTAGAAAGAAAAAAACAGTAAATGTATACAAATCATGCATGGTTGTGAAAGAAAACTGATTTTTATATTTCATAATAACGTATATACACACACACAAACAGAGAACAAAATTGTTGTATTATATTTCAATATCATGAAAAAATGGAATGATACCTTGTATGAATATATAAAATTTATATTTTACCTTCCTGATGTGCTACTTTCGTCATCACTTGAATCTTCATCACTTGGTTCTTCGTTGATTGGATTAGTTGTATCGAGTGATACTTGAAAAAACTGTCACCAAAAAGAAAATTTTAACATGTAAATATTATTTTACTGATAAGTGAACAATAAGATAACTCAAATTTGTAAAAAAACCCAACATAATGCAATAGTGTTATAGTTGGGACAAATGTAATTGAATGGGACAGTAAGCAGCATCACTTCAAGCAAATCTGTTAAATTTCACAATAAGTCGTATATTTATAATTTTTCCAACAAAAAATTTACATAGGTGGGTGGGTTATAGCCTGTGCTCTTCTGCTAAACAATCAATTACTATATTAGTGAAACATAATGTACAAGAAACACATTTAATCCTCTTACTGCAGTGTTTTTTTATATTCTTTTGACAATATTTATATATAATAGTTTGTCATGGCAGTTGAATATTATATGCATAGGTGGGGTCTTTCCAAACCTTTTTATATTTAAGTTCTCATTGAATTTTCATAAAAATCATACCAAAAGAAAGCTTATTGTCTTTAGTATACACTAATAATATTTCATAAAACCAGTGTATTTTCGAGAAAATTTTAGAAAAAAATTGACGAGTTTTTATTACATTTTTGTGATTTTGGCTTTAAAGTCAAATAGTCATAGAAAAAATATTGTGCCCACAGTTTTATTTTTTTTTTATCATCAATTACTCTTAAAAATCTTTAATTTCATGTAGTATTTAAGAACGCAGACGTTTTGAAAAGATTTTAAAAATTGAAAATAATATAATTTTTTTGGTAAAAATTGTGAATTTTTTCTTTGACGGCTGATTTCTGATAATAGAACAATTGCGGAATGGTTTTTTTAAAAATTTTTTTAATACACTTTATGAACTTTAATTTAATATAGATTAAAATGTGGAAGACGTTTCGAACTATTTCAAAAATTGAATTCAAAGTAATATTTTTATACGTGTGGGTGGTTTTTTTTAAACCCTTTCTATACTTAAATTTTCATACAAATCATACCAATAGAAAGCTAAACGTCTTTATCATATTCTATCAAAATTTTATTAGTATTTTAATTTAAAGAAAAATGTATAGCAGTTTTAAAATGCAGAAAATATATTTTTTTGAAATGTTGTTTTTGACATAGTTTAAACATATTTTTAAAATTTATAAAATTGAGGTGATTTTTTAATTTTTGGCAACGATAGGATTAACTAGATTAAAATAGGTTTTTTTTATAACATATTGAAAATTGAAAACTATCAAAGTTAGTCCAGTGATAGCCAAGAATTTTCATGGGCAGGCAAAATAAAACACAAATCATTATAAAATCAATACCTTTTTAGCTTTGCATTAAAAATAAAAATGTAATAACCAATTTTGACCTATCTAAAAATACAAGATTTTTAGAAATGTAGTTTGATCATATTTTTCTCATACCAAGAATTTATACTTGTAAGGGATAATTATAGAGATTATCAAAAATAAAAATTTGATGGGTTAACAAAATAAAATTCTATTTTATTTTTTTAAATATTTTACTTTTTTAAATATAATTTTGCTTACATCATGATTGAAAATGTTTTGCGGTAAACTATATTTTGAAGAATCGCTTTCGAAAGTGCTACTAGTAACTGATGGCCCTTGAGTAGGTGTGGTTGTGTAAGATGTACTATCAGTTGCTGTAACAAAGTCTTCTGTTGATGTAGATACTTCAGAATGTTCTACATTAGCTATGCTTGTATTACATTCAGAACCTGTTGATGTATAACTTCTCTGTTCAAGTAGATCTGAAGATTGTAAAGGCAGTTCTGTGTACCTAATAATTTTTTTCTGAATTCCGTTACAGTTAGTACTCTTAACCTCAATTTTTTTAGATCCTTTTTCAAATTGTAACACCTATGCAAAATGAAATCCTAGTGTTTATTTATTGTATTCACTATTTATTATATACATACAGTTTCTTGCGATAGATCACTTGGTTCCAGTTCATTGGAGGATGAAGGTGTTTTTACTCTATACTTATTTGGAGAATCCGATAGACAAACGCTACTCTTGGATTTATAAAATTCATTACGAATAATGCTTTCATTTTCATAAAAACATTTTACAGATTCTTCAGTATTCTAAAAAATATTGGAATTTTTAAACTTGTATTAGGTATAAAACCATTTTAAGTAGTGTGAGTAAAAAATTAATACACTTAATAAATAGTAAATAGTTCATATTTTTATGAAAATATTACACAAGAAGATAGAATACATCTTCATTGTACTGACACGGTTAATAATGTTTTCTATTTATATATCTAACAAAAAAATGGTATGTAGAATTAAAGGCATGTATCAATTAAAACTAGACTTTTCAATTGTATAACTATTGAAAGTTGCGATAAAAAGCATATTGTATATTTTCTGAATTTGACTTTTGTAGTACTTACAAAAGAAGCTGCAACTAAATTTTTGTAGCATTGTTCACCATCAGAAACTGACGTTTCGATATCTTCTTTTTTTTTTTTTTTTTTTTTTTTTTT